TCATCAATCATTCACAGTCTGTTTTCTATGATCGGTTGGCAGTAGAGTGACACTGCTGGTCCAGGATAAAACAGGGATGGTCAGATCTTTGCTGTTTGAGGAGCTGGGGAACTGGGTGGAGTAAAGGGTGCATTACCTCCTGTTGCTTTTATGATGATTTGTTTGTGGACTGTTTGACAGGTGATCTCTGCGGGTCGGGTTTAAGGTGGTATATCCATGACTTGTGTGAATCTGAACTATTCTATTTGTTCTCTTCTTGATGAAACAAGTACAATGCAACACAATACAAGACGTTGTTGGCGATTTCAACCTGTTGCACCTGTCCTAAGGTTGCATAGCAAGTGAAAATGATAATACTACTGATGTTCTAACATTACATCAGATGCATGGCTCTATTGTAAACTGTTGCCATTGTTCTTTACCCCGGAGAACGGGTAGTCACAAGGTCAGCTCTGTAACAAGAGTTAATACCATGTACACTACCATTCAATGCCTGCATAACTGAGCACCAGTACGATGGCACGGTCAGGAATGTGAGCTCAAAGGGTGGACCAGAATAAACATGTTAGGCCTAGAACTAATGGCTTTTAGCCTTTTTGGACGTCTGTCTAGTTATAATAAACAAGCACTTTCTTTGAGAGACTTTGCAACATGATGTGGAAAACATGAATTGAGTGTAAACTGATCGTGAGATTAGCTGTGTGCCTTGGCAGGGAGTCCGAAGCACATACGGAGACCCAAGTTATCAGCGACTTGCATGCTGGCTGTGGAATTTTTTAATAACTTTGCAAGATATTGGTTTAATGGTTTGCCATTCAGATGTGCTAAATTGTCACTTCAGCAATGGACTGCACATTCTTAGCAATGTGTTTATCTAAAATAATAGCAGCTTCTTGCCTATCTCAAAGTATTTAATATGTGAAATGTAAAACATAACACTGCGGTGGAAATATAATCCTCAGGAAATGTTTTTCCACCAGATTTACCTCAAAAAGAAAGAAAAATCACATTGGCAGAGCTTATAACCCGAGCTCAATTACTGCGCTTTCAGACCAGTGCAGTGAACTGGAATGATTTTTGTAGTGTGACCAGTTAATGAACTGGTCAAATCAGCAACACTGTTTAGAAAATATATGTGTAAGATATGTAATAATTCTATGGTTTATTCAGTGACGTGTGTGCTACTGCAAGAGCAGACCTGTTCTATTTGAATGGTGACAATGACTGCTTTATACTGAAGTACTGAATATCTGAAGAGATGAACTTCTGTGGTAGTAAGAATGCCAGGGATGCCATGGCTAACTGATTAAGTGAGCAGCTACTGAATGCTCATGCTGTTTGCATTCTCATGTGTGCAACCATGCTGCTTTTGTGAGCATATAAATCTATATTCCGATACTAAAGCTGAATATATTTGATTGCACGTCAGACAGGGAATGAAATGTTATTTGTATTGAAACTCTGGCCTTGATGCTAATCATCTCCAAAGCAATCCTGAATATTGTGTAAATCATTTGGTGATGGCTCAGTAGCAGTCATATTACACATTACTGAAGTATTTATCCACTGTGGTGCCTTACTGCCAGTAATTTGTGTTTTGATGGTGGAACAACATGGCAGCTACTAGCTCACAGTGATTACGGCTTTTACACAGACTAGTACTCACACAGATGTCTTCTACAGCAGTATCCCATAACATTACTCAAAACCTTCTCTTTGTTTTGAGTTGCGTAAAGTCTTGGAACAGAAGAGACATGCAACACAGTTTTTGTTCACGAGGTCTGACAAATTTCAGCTGCACGTTGGGAGTAGACAGTTCGACTGGGCTGACATTATCTTGGGCTTGACCAGTAAATGGCACACACACTCTCTACTGTAAATACACACAAACTCACTCGCACATTCATGCTTGGGTGTTGCTTTTTTGTATGACTATTGTTGCTATTGTTCGAGTTAAAACTGGGAGTTGGCCTCCCTCATATCCAGGGTGGAGAAGCAGTTACGTCAGCTTAAACGGTGTTAGTCTCCATTTCAAACATACCTCCATGGTACTAAATGCATTCATTATTATGTTTAATTAATTTCTAAACCAGTTTCAAGGGATATTTTTAGAGTGAGAACTTAGCTTAGTATGCCAACAAACAAAGAACCACATGCTTTTGTGTTAGATTTAATACTCATCCATAGAATCTCTCTCATAGATGTAGATTTTTTTTTCTTCCCAGACTCCAGATGTTTTATCTTCCCCTCACCCCACAGCTGCCCTAGTCAGCATCCCACAAATCATCCCTTGTCCAGCCTCTCCCCTTACCCCCCCGCCCCCATTTCTAAACTGAATGTGAGGACCACTGTCAGATCCCTCCAAGCTCTTCCACCTATACTCCCACGTTGACAGATTCTCTCTAAAATATGGACTAAACTCTCACTCATCTGTTGACACACACAGTCAATCTTACATCCTATGAAAATAGTTGGTTTACCTATCTGAACGCGTTCCCTCGCCCGATGCAATTCTCCTAAAGGCATTCGCACTCTCTACACTTGTTTTCACGTGTGTTCTCATAGTGCATATACATAACTCAGCATATGCAGTATCATTTTACAAGGTGGTGGTGTGAGGGTCAGCTGTGTTGGACCCTCATGAGCTCATGCCACTAGAGAATTGAAGGAATCCCAGTTATCTACGCACACACAAGTGTTTGCACACACGTGGATGCATACAGTCACAGACACACAACAGTCTGAGAACAGCAAAGCATGTGCAGCTTTACCTGTTCACGGCTGAGGTTTACATTCAGGGTTCCTGAGGCAGTGGGGACAGTAAAATGGCAAAGCTTGATGCATTAATTCTAACCAACCTAATCTATCAGTGTTAACACGAGCTGGAGTGGCCCTCTGTCAATACAGAGTTGGCGTAATCTCGGCATAGGGTTCATTCTTATCTTTGGGATGTGGCAACAAGACCAGCACAGTCATTGCATGTGTACGGTGATTAAAACATCTTGGAGTTCTGTAATGAGAGCATGCTTTCAGTCAGTGTGAGGAATGAAGGGGAAAGCATGTGTCTGCTCAGGGAGTGCTCCCACCGGGAATCTCAGTCATCTCGAACCATATGTCTGGCCAGAACAGGATTTCTCAAGTAATGAGAGTAGGAGGATAGATCACAGCCAGCCAAGCTAGACTTTTTGAGACAGAACATAGTGTGTTTGTCAGTGATGTTGTGTTCAAAGCACAATCAGTAAATACCCTTTCATAACTGAGTCCACTGAGCTGTGTTGTATATGATTGGCCTGCATCAGTTTGTTTTGGTCCGATGTTCTTGAAATCGTCTCCATGCATGTGTGTGCATGCTAATGCGTGTTCACAGGGGCCCTATGCCCCTGTGTGTGTGTGTGTGTGTGTGTGTGTGTGTGTGTGTGTGTGTGTGTGTGTGTGTGTGTGTGTGTGTGTGTGTGTGTGTGTGTGTGTCACACTCACTCACACTCACAGTGATCCATTCATTTGAGGCCTGGCACTCAGATAGGGAGTCCGGTTGAGAAAGACAGAGACTGAGAGAGACTGTTCGGACCCTGCACAGTGACTCAATGCTAGCTGTCTGCCTGGCACAGATTAGATCAACACTGATGAATATTCAACAGTTGGCCATCACTGCCAGAATGGCTTACATTTTTACCAAGGCAGGAGATGGGAGTCAGTCTTCTCTCTCAAATTGTACAAAAGTGATTGCTCTACCTCTTGCAAAAGTTCTTAAGGGTCTAATTCAAGGAATAAATACATTTTTCACAACAAAAAATTCTTGAATTCAGACAATTTGTTTTCATTTCGGTATTGTATTCCAAACCTGAATGCAGACTGGTGTGAATGCATCTGATCCCAGCTACCGTCATTATCCTCCTTCATGATACAGAGTTGTGATATTTTAGTTTGATAGTTTGTATTCGCTGACTTGTTTTCTTAGAAATTTTGAAATTTGATCCCTCTACTCTATTAATGTTTCCAAAAGCAACTTAGAGGGCAGTCGTCAACATTATATCCAAAGGGTATTCTGTTAGGTAAGCTCTGTACTGTTTGGAGTACAGCTTCCTCCCTCAATCCTAAACACATGTCTTCCACACAAAGACAGGAACTGTGCTGATCTAAACTACAGCTAACCGGAAGAGTGTGTTTTGTTTGGAGTTCAGCGAATGTCTGAGGAGGTAAAGGGCATCCTTGATATGAGCCTTGACAAAGAGAAAATCCACGACTACAAACTACAGCCCGGCCAAAGACACTCACAGAATGGGACTCGAGAAGAATGAGTACACAGCCAAAATATACTGACCTTTTATTGAGGGGTATTTTTAGGTTTTTCTGTTTGTATGGAGTGTGTGAGTAGACTGTCGAATGAGAACAACACATGCCTCAGTACATGTGTGTTTTATCTGTTTGCACTCGTTGCACCAGATTTTCAATCAGTGTTACCACCCACATACAGATTCATACATACTGTCCCCATCTTCTGTCCAAGTAGAATGGTGTTGGAAATGGTAATGTGTGAGTGAGGATGTTTGTATCCCTGCGCCACCCGCAAGCCATGCTAGGTTTACCCAAATGCATGCCTGTAGGTACGTTTTATACACCACTAATTGTAACTGTATGTGACAGGGGTTTTATAAAGCTGTGCTTAGGGTAACTGGAGAAGAAGGAGGGGGATGTGCTTGTCACACGGTGTACTAACTTGATCAGGCTTTTTTGTTTCCCGAAGCACTGGTGGGATGTTTTTAAAGTGATAGAAGCTGCTGTAAAGGAGAAAGTAAATTATTAGCCATTACTGTATGTTTAGGTTTTCCCCTTGTTTTTATGTGAAGTTTAACATAATAAAGGTAAATAACGAGTTGCCCAAATGAAGTTTTTGCACCGACAGCATGTTTTTTTTTTCTGTAGAATTATATAATCGGCTTTCCTTTCTCAGGATGTTGTAGTTCTCTGGCTCAACCAATTCCCTCTCTTTCTCTCTCCAGGATGGTTCTCTGGGCAACATAGATGACCTTGCCCAGGAGTACTCTGAGTACTATAACACCTGCTTCAGTGACGTCAGCGACCGCATGGAGGAGCTACGCAAAAGACGAGTCTCCCAAGAGCTTGACATGGTAAGTGCAAACTCCCACAACGCTCTCTCTCCCTTTCTCACTCTCTCTCACACACACACATACATATACAAAAGAAAAAGACCTTACATAGCAACATGATTTGAGCAAAAACAGCTGTCAACCACAACATTTCTTGCTCTCTACTCAGTTTGCATGCACTTCAAATTGCTTTGGACAAATGATCATTTTTTTTGCAAATCCTTTAATAATGACCCTAAAAATCCCCCTTTTAGACTAGTCTCATAGCTTTACAGAGTGTAATTTCCACAATCTTAGCCAACAACCTGGCAAGGAACAACGGCGACGGAACCATCAGGAGTGTGTGCTACGGTTTAAGACTTTCCCCAAAGGCAGAATGCATTTTCTGGAGGTCCATTGGGGGGTTTGGGGGTTCTTTTCACAAGGATGTAGGGTAGTGGGGCACCCCTTTGGTTGCCAAGCTGCACACAAATGCATAAAGGAATGCTGCTGGTGCTGCCTAGCTCTGTGAAGCACACTACCCAGTGGGTCCAAAAAGTGTTGAGTGTTATGCTCACTTTATAAATGCTCTATGACTTATTCATGGTAAATTAACTTGGTTTGAACCCTTACAAAACGCTATTTGTGCTCAATTTCTAAAACAAATGACTGCAAAAAATTGCTGCTTGGTTGTATTTTTCGGTCTGAGGCTAGCTGCTACTCTACAGCACAGATCAGCTTTAAAATAAAATGTCTAACTTAAATAAAATGAGGCAGTTAGGTGTCACAAATGTAATAGTACTGCCTGACAAAATAATGATCCAGTTCCCCTTCCACAGATTTTCCTCACTCTGATATCATGTTACCTCAGCCTTTCTTATTTTAGCCGTTCAAATTTTCTCTGCTTATACATTATTGTCTGTCATTATTGGTTTTCTAGTTTAATAGGATGCCTCTTCTGCTTGAAGGCAGCCATGTGGTTTTGGTTGGGTTGACAGGTATGGCTTAGATGGATAGCTGATTTATTGTGCTCTTCCTTTTAATGACCGCAGGCAGACATCCTGTTCTCACAGCTATGAGGAGAGGGATTGGAAAGCATATATTTTGCATCTAATCATAGGTTAAGTGTTCCCTCTGTGTGGCAATCGTCTATAGTTTGCCATCCTGTGAGTTTCACAGTAATGCGGATAACCTCTGGACATTTTATAGTTTGGGAAGGTTTCATCCTGAGGAGATAAAACAGGCAAAGAGGAAGCAATCAAGACAGATTTTGCAGCCCATGTGTAAGAAGAGAGAAAAAGAGCTGACTGGGCCCTAAGCCTGAAGCCCAGCACAGGAGGAGGATAAGGATGTGAACAGAGGAAGACGAAGGGAGGAGGATGAGGGGAACAGAGTATGTGAGAGCCTGCAGCTGTCCCCCCACTCTGCAAAGTTTGGCACCAAAATATAGGAGAAGAGGGGAGAAAAAACATGAAGGAAGGAATATGGGTCAGACAACACCTTATTGAAAGCTCTCAGAAGCGCAGTATCAACCCACACTATATGGATTGAACTTGGCCTTGCATTGTAGTGAAGTCCTTTTCTAAAATTAGGTTTGGGGAATAGTATAATAGTCTAAAGCAGCCTATTCTATACCAAGCTACCAAGGGTAAGAGTAAGTTAAGACACAATTCCATCTCTTACACTGTAATACTGTGACAAAAAAGAGTATCGATGGCAAGATTTCTTTCCATTAAATTTTTCCACGGAGACTCAAAGGCTGTGGAACTGTATCTGTAAAACTAGAACAAAAAAGTGAACTACATTATGAAAGTAATACACAAGCAGAGATGGGGAGAAAGACAGGCAGAAGAGACCAAGATGAACTGAAAATAAACGCAGTGGAATGGACAACCAGTGCGACAGAGAGCAGTGAATGACTTTTGTGTCTTGTGAAGTGTGTCCAGGAATCAGTGGCTGCAAGCCAACGTCATGCAGCCGCCTCCCTTATGACCAATAACAGATGGTTAGACAAGGTCACAATGTCCAAGAGCCACGCTAATGGGGAGACATTTAGTAAGTGGCACTCCTGAGGAACTTGGCCTTTAGGGAAAGACCTGTCACTTGTAAAGGGTACAGGATGGTGGGGGCGAGACAATCATGTCTCCACAAGATCTACTCCCTCTCCAGTCATTGTCTTTCTTTTTGTCACTACACCAAATTTATAGGTCAGCTGTTTTCTAATTTTGACGGCTAACTTGAATCACCTCAAATCTCTCCTACTGCAACTTTTTGGGACTAAGAAGATTACTCATTCACTCCAAATCAGCTTTGGTCAGTAGGCACGCAAAGTCAAGATAAAGCACTGTGCCATATGAGATGATTGCCTGATTCAAAGTCTGCATACATGAACTTTGGCAACTGACAACACATCATTTTTGCTTCGATAAAATTCCCACAAGAAAGCCCCGGTGTCTAGTTTAGCTATGGTCAGCAGGGTGACACCAAAGAAAAAGAAGAAGCCATCTTTAGGTTTCTGTTCTCCAAAACTTTCTCAAGTTGACTCTTACTCCAGCTAGTCTAGTGATCTTTTTGTAATGGAAACCTGGTTTCTCCGGGGGTTTCTGGCTCCTCTATCGAGAAATGATCTTGCAACACTAACATTTTTACACAAATGTGTGGAGCTTAACATTTTTGTTTGTTTTCACTTGAGAGGCCTTTCAGTTAACAAAGTGATGGCTGTCTGTTTTAGTAAAACGTGGATCTCTCCCTATTAGAAGCTGATGATGGAGTCTCTCTCAGAGATGCCTATCATTGTACCCACTTCCTGTCTGGTCTTTGCTGGATTGTTCCTCTGTATCTTCATGTTAGTTTTATGAGTTGCAGGGACAAAGGGGGTTAAATAAACATCCCCCTTTGGGAATGTGACCTATGGATTAGCGCTACCATGCACAGTTTCCCAGAACTCCTATAGATGACAAGAGTTGTGACAGTCTCACTGGGATGCTGATTTGGTGATACATAAGGCTTGTTGGTAGAAGTATTGAAGCAAAGAGTTCAGCAACTTAAACAAAATGTGTTTTTTCAAATGATAGCCAAAGGATGAAAGTTCAGTTGCAGTCAGTAACATTTAGAGCGTTTACTGCTATTTTATATTGTTTTGCATTTATAATATCTTAAATATTTTACCAAAACCACAACAAACGTGGTATGCAATTCGCTTTATCAACATACACTTATAAGCGGAGAGATATACATTTCAGAGTCAGTCACCGATGTAATTGCCATTAATACCATTAATTATGTGTGTAATATCTGTTGTCTCTTCAACCAAAATTACACAAAAAAAATCATGCATGGCTCAGCCCATTGTGTTTACTTAAATTTAATTTCCATACTTCAGTTACAAAGAATAAAGCGTTTGATTGTATTTCATTGCCCTTTTCAGTTCTTATGCTTGGTTTTAAGAGTTTTGTAGGAGTGCTCCTTTTTCAAGATAAGTTACTTGTCTTTTACATATGGGCTGGAGTTTTCTTTTCACCCTGAAGTACCATTTCTCTTTGCCCTGTCTGATTCATGTGTCAGCCTTCTCAAAAATATATATTTTTTTATATCAGGATAGGTGGGTTAGTCCTTAACATTTACAAAGTTCAGAGAGTAAATGTAAAACTGTATAAAAGTTTGATCTATAGATATATGAATAAGGGCTACTTTCTTTTGCTATCTTTTCTTCAACACTGCATTTGTTACTGAATGTGAAAACATGCCAAAACATGGATTTAGAAACTACAAGAGGGATCCCATAGAGCTGCAGAGACTGGTTATTACAGTGGGAAAATCATGTATAGCCGACGGAGGAAAACATCAAACTAGATATTAGCATGTCTCTCAAACCACAGCGATGGAACAGATGAAGTACATCAAATATAAATCAAGGATAATTTTGGAATTCGTGGTTGTGGGGCAAACCTTTTAACACATTTCTACATGCTGTAAACCATAATGAGACATTGCAACAGCATTTGTGGTAATATCCTTGAGAGTAATTTGAAAGTCATGGATAAACAAGGACGCCTTAAAGATTAAATCCTTTGATGCTTTGACCAGAATCCTTCAGTTGTTGGTCTGTTAACTTCACAATCTAAACACTTGACACAGAAATGCCTCAGCTGGTGTCAGATTGATCTGTTACCCTCAGGAATGCTCTGTAATGGTTTTTTAGCTGAGTAGCTTGATAGTTGGGGGTCAAGACTCAAGTACAGACTTGTTTTGTTTTGCCATGAGGTGAGGAACAGTGTGCTTAATGCACTAATGCCTGCATGAAGTTTGTTCATCAAAGTGGGTCAGTTCAGCCGGGTTAAAACTACAGTGTAGAAGAAAGACAAACTCTGTCTTGAATTCTGCTGCTTATTTGTCCTTTCTTACCTTCAGGCTTTTGCTCAGAAACATAGCCACTCAACATGCTTCAGACAGCAGCCTTTGTTACCATAGGATCACTTTCAAATGATGTTTGCATAGCTCCATTATTGGTGTAACCCTTGTGGAAAGCAAGTGGTATATTTACAATTTTATTGTATGATTTATTAGTCAGCATTGGGATCATGACTCTGTCATTGGAATTTGTAATAACTCTGGTGTTTGTCTTGAAATACCAAAACAATGAGGATCCACAAGGCTTAGGAATGCTTCATACTGTAGAAGCATGCAGGCCAGTGCTGCAAGTATGCACGTATGCACACACACACACACACACACACACACACACACACACACACACACACACACACACACACACACACACACACACACACACACACACACACTCTCACAAGGCCTCTGGAAAGGAAGCGAGGTGTTACTGAGTGCGCTGATGCTTTTCTGTTTCTCGTAAATTAGTTTAACCATGAAGCAGCTCAGAGGTGGCATGACAGACTCTGGTAATACTGCCCACTGAGAACATGTATAACCTGCTTTTATGTGTGATATTTATCTTCTTATGAGATCTTCCAAATGAGCCGGTTCCGCAGGCTTGCACCCAGCCATACTGGCCCCACCGATAACATGTTTTTGGGCTTGCACCAGGCTTTCCAGTTGGTGTCTATCCCTCCACATGTGCGGTCCTACCTAGCAACATTTGCCTGCCCACGTTTACCCAACCATGCCAGTTGGCGTACCTCCACTAAGCTACCTGGTCTCTCTAGTTTTGCCGCATATCTGCCTACTTCTGCTCCTGAGCTTGGCAGTAGCTCCACTGTGGGAACTCATGCCTTTGGTGGGCTCTGCAGTCATGTTTGGACTAAACTGCTGCTTTTCAACACTAATCTGTATTTCTATCCTTTCCCTCTCATTAACAGATTCTGGTCCTGCTGTAGCAAAAGAAAGTATAGCTATAGCTTCTGGGTTAATGATGGGAAGCAATGTGGTGCTGGGAATTACACACTTTCACAGTCACTCTACAGGAGCTTTTGATGCCTCTTTGTGTGTGTGTGTGTGTGTGTGTGTGTGTGTGTGTGTGTGTGTGTGTGTGTGTGTGTGTGTGTGTGTGTGTGTGTGTGTGTGTGTGTGTGTGTGTGTGTGTGTGTGCGTGCGCGCGCGGATGCTAGTTTCCCTGTCTACCCACATCGTGATCCTCATTAGCTGGAGCTGGAGTTCATATGCTCCCTTACTGCTTTCCCTCGCTTGTGTTTTAACTCAATTCAGTCACGCTTAAGCAATCAGAGTTTTGCATTTGTATCAGACTTGAATGCGCACACACACACACACACACACACACACACACACACACACACACACACACAGACAGAGTGAATTGGGCACAAATAAGTTTGTGGACATCGGGAGCAAGAACACATGAACATTCACACGCATACTGCCCTACTTACCCTGAATTCAGGGTAAGTAGGGCAGTATCACAAGCTGATGCTGGTAGGTTCATGTAAAGGATAGCGTACCCCCTCTGGGAGTACCCCTTAAAAAGGCATTGATTTGATATTCTCTTTTAGAAACGGTGTCAGTTACGCTGGCAGCTTCTTCACTGTTGCTTCTCGGTTAGCGATCCACAAGTCTGAGAGAAACCCCAAGTTTACCGTGGGAAGCTTTTACATGAATTTTCTCTCCACATTCTATGCTGTGACAAATCCATCTCACAGATCTGCCGGAAAAGGCAAATGGGATGTAGGTTTTGTTTGTTTTTCGCTGATCGTCTCCTCATCTTTTCACCCTCTCGCCTCCTCCTTCCATGTCAGAGATGGCACGCACAGACAGGGAGCAAAAGGAAGCTGAGGAGGAGTAGGAGGAACAAAGAGCTGCTTTGTGTGTCTGTCTCTTTGGAGCTCTGTCTGTGGAAGTGGAAGCGAGTGTGTGTATGTGTGTAGGTGCTCCTCGGTTTAGGTATCTGTCTAGGTTTAGGTCTGTGGTGGCATTTATGTGGCTATGTCAGGGTCTGTTTCTGCCTGTGTATTTTTTACATGTGGTGCGTTTGCCAGGCAGGCACTGAGCCGACAGTGTGGCAGTGTGTTTTAAAATACTTTTTTTAGAACCAGTTGGCACGGTGCCCGTAGATATCCATTGGCAAGACTGGCATATCTCTCCTGTCACTGCAGTCCAGAGAAGCCATTATAGAGGATCTGAAAGCAAAAGCAATCTGCCGCTACCTTTGTGAAGCAAAGACTGCATGTGCATGTGAGCACACACCTTGTTCCCTCTTTATGTGGGTTTTTCTGAGTACACCCACATTATTATGCACCATGCAATTGTTTAAACTGAGCTTGCTGCCAAACCTGTGCTTGTTTAAGGGATAGATATATGTTGTTTCTTTGTCTCAAATAAGTTCTGCTTTTGTAAGAAAAAGGCATTCAGGTGTGTCCCAGATTTCCCCTATGTTCAGCCTGGCAATGTAATGAGACTAAACCCTGTACCTCTGTAGGCTTGCTAGATGAAGGTTTTTATGACCATAGACAGGTACCTGCTCTCTGACTTATGGGAATCACCATATTCCCTTGGATGGACAAATTGTGTCAGAGCTCTTCCGACCTTACTTGATTTACTTTCCAAAGAAACTTCCGGATCCGTGCCTCTGTCCGCTTGATCACTGTAACAGACTAATAGAGAAACAGTCAAAAGGACTAAGAGGACTTGTAGTACTAAAGTTAACGTTTAAGATAAAGCCAGCCAGACTGTCTCACTAACATCATTACCGTTCGCCTTCAGTCGTTTACTGTTGTGATAAGTGTAGGGTTCAGGCTAATTTTGAGGCTTTTAGCCACCTCAGCTCCTAAGGTCTCCTGTTCATATGACCTGCAGGCTACAGACTCTTAAAGAGTTCTTAAAGAAGTTCTGTCACCTCCAAGTTCTTTTTAACTGTTAGTCACTTAGTGACTCATGCTTAGGGGAGTGTAGAAGGATTACACTCCCTTGATGACAGCCCATTCAAAGAAAAGAGGTTAAACTACGGGTCACTCTGATTAGGAAGCATGACACTGTTGGCAGTGTTCTTGCTTTAGCTTCCTGTGACTGTTATCCTACACTCCAATATCTGGGTGTGGAGATACGGAATGATGCGCAATTCTCAAAAACAACTCATTTCCTACTCCTTCTCTACATTTGGGAAATTCCAGATTCAATTAGTCTTTTCTTTGCAGCAAGTGCTATTTAATGGTTTTAGGGAGCCAGTCACCTCAAGTACTCAACCTGTTTCTACTGACCTACTTGGCTGATGTCAACTCCTCCTCCAGGCATACGGATCCGCGAGAAATATCACCAGTTAAAATACCACGTCAACTGCCATGTTGATTTGACAGAACGTCGTGCCATAAAAATCAGTCTTGACAAAAATAACTTACATTTGTGAGACATTTATGACAGTGATAACAGTTAGTGGTTAACTGTAGAAAGGCTTTTTGTTGTGTGTTACCACAGCAACAACAGAGAGGAACAGACAATAATTGGAGTTTGTGTTATTAGTGTTTCATATTTTCTAAAACTTTTTACACCCTATTTGAATGACCAACAATAGATATGGTAAAATCAGCATTTGCATCATGAGATGTTTACTAAAAATCTGCTGTATCTGGTAAAATATTAAAAGTGAGACAGAAAGTAGAAACAGGAACTTTGTTTAGGTTATGTTTTCTCTTCTCACTGGGACCTTAAGAATCTCAGCATGACCTAGACACTTCCTCAAAATATGTGTCAGAAATTGCCCAAAATGCAAGTAAAAGCAATTCACCTATTAATAAAACTTTTATTAAGCTCATTCCTTTGCCCTTTCTACTGTGCATACTATTCCCAAGTCTGCCTCATGTATGCATTACTGTTCTCACAAATATTTCACGGTTTATGTGCTCTCATTTTGCCTTCTTATGGTATCTTAACAGAACATAACAGTAGCAAATAATAGGGGGATGGTTATCCTTGGTTACCCTCTAGCTCATGTCAGAAGGAAAAGGCATATGGAGAGTATAAAGCCAAATAATCCCATTGTGCATTGACCACGAAAATAACTACTAGAAATTTACAATGCTGGCATAATGCTAAACTCAAGGTTAGGGATGCAGGCTTGTGAGTCCTTGGTCCACATTTTGATAGTCTGGTCACTACCCTTAAGCAATGTGCTGACCCCATCTGTTTCTGTGGTGCTTAATATCCCACCACTGTACAAGACTGTGGTAGCATTAAGTAAGTGTGAGTACAGGGGCTTGGGTAATGTCATCCATGAGAGTTCAAAAACAATGCACTCGACCAATCCCTCAAGGCTGTTCACTGGCTTTAAATAATCACATCCTGCAGGTTAAAATCTAAGTTGCAGACTTGTTGTGATTGTACAGGTCCTGTGTCTGTCTGTAGAAGCATTTGGTTTGAGGCACATCTGTATCTGGATATGCCATGATGAGGACACCTGCCTTAGACATAAACAAGCACCAGCCCTGTGTAATCGTGAAAGCAACCCTGACAGACATTGTGGGCTGGAGAAGCTCAGAAAGTGGAAATGAAGAGAGGCTAAAAATTGTGCAATTCTTCAGTTTTGAGTAATTTGTTTCTTGCATGCCTGGGTCTGGATATCTGACTTTCATATACACCAGCTTCCCCTTTTGTGCTGTCATTTCATCTATTAGAATATGATATGTTGTATTCTAAGGATTTGAAACCAGCAGATGTTGCCTTGTGTTGAGGGAGGCGCAAACTAAAGTCACTGTAAATCTTTGGAATTCATGGAGCCAGTTACCTAGGCGCTTTTGTCATGTCTTGTTCTGCCAGGAAAGCCAAGACATCACTCGGCTACACCACCGCCCAGTGGTATTCAGTAACAATCAAAACAAGTTTTGCAGGTTTGGGTACCTAAGACGAGACTTGACTTGTTGAGTTGTCTGTGGGAGGGTAGTTGGTGTGCATGCACGTGCTTGTGTTTGTTGTCACTCATAAGCAGGTGTGTCTACATGAACCTGACCTAAGGACGTCTTTCCCACATGAGGGCATTGTTAAACATGCCATCCACTGTTTCTGTAGTCAACTCACCTTTATTGTATATACAGTATACAGAAATAGTTTTTACCTTTCTAGTCTTCTTAGTTTTGTGCTCACTGTTTATATACCCCTGTGTTATTAAGTAGTTGATCTTTGAAACTGACATTTGACTTTCTTTCTTCTTTCTCCCTTATCATTTTTTCAGGAGAAACAGGACCCAAGCAGCACATCCCTGCAGCTCCGTACTGAGATCCAGGTAGGCAGAAACACTGTGCACTAAACACATGGTTTGCAGTGTCACTTTCACACAATCTTTGGTTTAAAATCAATCTGACATCTGCCTCCTTCTCTCTGTCCACAGGAATCATTAGGCTTCAGCAGTGAGGTTTCCACTCCAGAAACAGACAGAAAGTATGTTTTTTTTGTCCCACTTTATCACTGTAACATGTGACCGAAGCCAATGTGGAACCATGAAATATGCTTGGGTTGAAATGTGTGTCTGTTGCATGTCAAAACAATGTGCAGTGCAGCCTCCGTCTGGATCGCATCAAACCGTACGCGCCTGCACACAAAGTCATGGATCACACTTAGCCCTTCTGCATGTCTGCAGCTAAAGATGGAGAGAGGCTCCATATGCAGCTCATAGAATTGATAGATCTCTCACGTGACAGCTTGTACAAAGGTTCTCTGGCCTTGCTCATAGGGAGAAGAGGTCAGCTCCTCAGGTGGAAAACTCTGACTTCATGGATCAGTGTGGTGGTGTGCGAGTGAGCAATTGACACAGGTTCAGCTACGGCAGTGCAGATAAAGACAATTTTATTTCACTGGGTGTCATGTCAACAAGATGTCAGATTACAGTGTAACCTTTTTATTTTGTGTAGCTAAGCTAACAGGTTGCTAGCGGTACAGTAGCATCATATTTACCATGCTGACATGAGTAGTATCGATCTTCTGAATACTAGGCAAGAAAGCAATACGTCAAGAAAGATTTAAATGCTTATAATGATGAAATAAATCCCTAACTGATAAAACATTACCTTATTAATATTAAGATGAGTGGTTCTGAAGGAACCAACCGTTGACATGCACAGATATGCATGTAGTTGGTCCTTTGAGTCCTCTTGGTCACATCCCTTCTGTGGTAAAAGGAAAACCACTAACTGCTTCCTTCGGCTGACCTGCTCACTCCAGCAGCCACTCTCTGTTCTCTGGCCATCCATACTTCCTTCCTGCCTTTGTGTCCAGCAGGGGAGAGGGGGAGGCAGAAAGGGTGATGGCCAAATGATTGCAGAAAAAGGAGCATGAACGAAAGAGCAGGATGGAACCGTGCATGGGTGGGGTTCCTTTTCACTGATTCCTGTAACGCGAAGTGTGTGTGTGCTCATTATTTCACACCACTTTATTTTGTGTGCATGAAATTCCCCCCCCGTGGCCCCACCATGAGATCACTGTTATACACATTTAAAGCTACACAGGTTGGTCGGCAAAACAGTTCTGTAAATGCCCTGCTGTCAAAGAGAATTACATTCACTGCAGTCACACACATTTGGCCCCTCTATAGGCACGGCATTCATTTGATCTCTGTAAAGTGAAACCAAAGATCAAGAACATATTTAAATGTTTCCTTACAACATTTCTAATGGAAAATGAAAAATCTCTATTACATTTTATGAAGAGATTTAGTGGAGATGAGACGGATAGGTTAGTGCAGGAATTGGGAGCCCCAGTCAAACCCCACTGCCGTGTTTGCCAGGGTCAAATTTTAAACAAACCTGAGTGTGACTCAGAAATGATCTAATCTTTTTCACAGTTTTCCCTGATTTTGTGTGTTTCTTCCTTGCCATCACCCCCGTGTGACCCCCAGTGGAATTGTCATGTTCACGTGACGACCGCGTGCGGCAAAGGAAGTGCATACCACAGACATGATCTTTTCTCCCATGGCTGTGTATGTTGCACAGACAAATGCTGGGGATGATGGGAAACAGATGCCAAATTTTAAATGACGTCTCTCTGCTGTTCGAGAGAATCCCAGAAAGAGCCCCCTAACTGTGCTTCTCTCTCTCTTCTTCCTGTCAGCCTGGCTTCTTTCTGTCCTCCATCCCATCACGTGCTCTCTCATAAACATTCAGACTTAGTCTCGGCTTGAGGCTTCACATTTACCCCTCTTTTCACCTCTGTCATTTCTACTCTTTCTTCTATCTTTTTCTCTTACTACAAAGCCATAAACTCCATTTCTGGTGTGAATATTAGATATGAAGAGCTTCATATCACCTTTTATAATTAATCTCATTTTTAGGGGGTTTTATGCTTGAGGACAAAATTTACCCCATCTAAAGCCTCAGAAATATTTTCTTTTTGTAATCCATCCTTCACTGCCGACCCCTCTCCTCTCATTTACCCTAGCTCTGGTCTCTATTACATTGCCTTTTGTCTACTTTCTACTGGTGTGAATGGGTTTCAGGTGTAGTAATTTATCTTGTGCAGGCAGAGTGATAGACAAGCCCCCTCCGTTCTGCACGGCACATTCCTCTCAGCCTCACAAGAAGAAGGCATGCACGTTCCCCAGCACAGACACGGATACCCCCTTCATCACCTCTGTGCAGGACAATAGCACCCAGAGGAGATTACCCAGACTCCATCTTGGGCCATGCCACCCCTGTCTGTGGTTCTCCTCGTCACTTTGTTGGCAGGAGGTGGGCACAGCTCCCACAATGGCTGGTATGCAAGTGGTGATGACAGAGCACTCTTAGAAGGCTGGAGGGTTCAAGCTAGGGACTTTCCTGTTTTGAAAGGTGATTGATTGGTGGGAATTGTTGCAGAGAAGGGGCAGCAAGCTTATCAGTCGGGTTAACAGCAGAGGCAAATGGATCTTGATGAAAGCATACATGTGTACAGACACAAGATAACCTCTAACCAGGTTTGTAAGATTGTAAATTTAGACTCCGTAGACACTACTGGAAGTCCAACTAATAATCAGATGGAAATGTAAGCCATGCCATGTGAAGAATCTGTTTAGAACAACAGCACTGTGATGGAAAACTTAAGAACCATGTCAGCATATTAACCACTTGTTGGCTGAGTGTTGCAGCCCTCATGGAAGTGTTATTTGCTTCTGAGAGTGGAGCACAGCAGACTGTGTGGGTCCGGCATGAAAATGCATGCACAGAAACATGTGCTTTATCTGGATGATTTTCTGTTTTCCTGCCATATGATCTGCCATCTTCCCCCTCCATGTGACCTCTGACCTATTCCATGACCCCTGAATAGGTTATCCCTTTGCTCTTCCTGTGAACACTGCCCACATCGCGCAGGGTCGCTGCCTTTCATTGTCTCTACTAGAACCCCGGAGATCACCTTGCTCCAGGTGGCCTGCCATTTAATTTGCCATACACATAAATGGGTGCAGTGCTGATTTATGCTGAGTACAGTAAAACCTGCCAGTGAGACACACAGCTGTGTGTCCAAATCTTGCTATGTGCTGGGCTATCATCTTTCCTGGACAGCAGCTCTGTCACACAGGATAGAGGCTGTGCTAGACCGTAATTCATACTGTGTCCTATGATAGTTGCCTAGTCATCCTTTTTTCCCTGATGTTAATTGGCACTGACATGCTAGGGTTTTTTCTATTGTTTTCTGTGGAATTCATCTCTGTGTGTGTACAAATGTGCATTAACCACATATTAGTATATGCCAGTTTACTCTTGTTCCATATCTGCTTGTATGTAGTACTATCGTATGTTTTAAACACATCTACAGCTATAACACAGAATTGGAGTCTCATGCTATAACATAGACAGCTCTCACAGGTTATCATTTCGAAAATGATTCATGCTTTACATCCCAGCCAGAGAACATGTAATTTCAGACATGTAATTTTCACTGAGCAAACTGTCAGTTCACTTATAGCTTTAATGTCATTAGCGCCTGTTTCTAACACATGTAACATTTTCTTAATGCAGACGTATCATGAAAAGAAGCGTTCACCTATCCTGCATAGGTCCAGCCAAAGTTAAGATACTATATTTAATATTATGCACAAAATAGAAAGTTGGCTTATGCTAATGAGGTAAAAAGCTGTTAGATGTCCCCTTCTCAATGAAAAGAACTGAAATGAAATAGAAAGGCATGCCAAAGATTTAAGGTTAAACCAATTAAGTTGCCTAGCCACACAATGCCTGGACTGACACGTTCTTTGAAAGACATTCAGTGTGTGAGCAGCGCAGATGTGTGTGTGTGTGCGCGCATTTATGTGTGCGCTGCATGGGAGGTTAATTTATAGAGGGGGGGGGGGGAGCAGCGCCACCACAGAAAAGCTTCTATTGAGTGAGTTCTATTAGCATTAGCTTCGGCCCTAGCCTATCTGAGAGGGGGATGAACGGAGGGGCAAACCATACAGGCCTCCATTCAATTAGCATCTCATTATGTTGCCATGGCAGCTGGGCTTTAAGCTGCGTGAAGATTTCCCATTGCACCAGGAGAGGGCTTATGTCTGAACAAACATATGAACACATAGGCACACACATACAGCCACTGGAGAGGGAAGTGACCTGTTCATCTTGTTTTCATCCTGTCACACACTTTCACATTGCTTCTCTGGCAGCTACCTGCATGCCTCAGCAGCTGCATACCCATGTGCAGTGGGCTCTGATCATAAAGGGTGTGTCGACGTGTGCAAGTGTGAGAAAGTATGCCTTTAGTAGAGAGATTTACTTAAAAGGTCTCTGAGGCTCTCAATTGGACAAATATGTCCTTACCTCGCCTCCCCCCCCCATGATTTATTCCCTTTTAATCGAAAGAACTGAAAAGTTTATAGTACGCCGAAATCACTCTCTCACACACACACACACACACAAACACACCTGTAGGGCGTTCTCCACACACATAATCCAAACCTGAAGCTTCACTCCCAGTTTACCCTCTTACTCAGCCCACTTAACCCAACCTAAAAAACAAAGTCTCTCCTTCTGTGACGGTTTCAGGAACTACTTTAAACATGAACATGAAGCCCTTCTCTTTTTTTTTTATATAAGGAAGACACAAATAGATTGCTGTTGATGTGGTTTCTCTCGGCTCCTCCAGAACAAGGGAGAGTCAGCCGCACGGCCTTACATGCTGCTGAACTCGCCAGAAAATTGAGTGAGGCTGCCCATATATGACTTTTTGATTGGAAGCTGAGTCCAGTTCATGTGTCACAAGGAGCTGTGGAGCTGTTATTTTCTCCCTGTTTGGTCTGATTATTTAGGAAGGTTTACAGACATGTCAGGACTCAGTTATTTTCCATCTCTCCCTCTCTTGTGCACTCTCTCCCTCTTCTCCCTCTCTTCCCTCTGTCTTCCTCGTGACTGTCTATCCTGCGGAGGGAAGTGGAAACACAAACAGGCTGAGTCTGCCCTGTGGTTTATCCTCCTCCTCCTCCTCCTCCTCCTCCCCTTGCTCCCTCCTTCTGTTCCTCTCTTCCTCGATTTCAGTGTCGTTCTTCACTTTCCCATGGTTTCCCTCTCTTTTTCATCATCTTGTTGACCTTCCTCCTTTCTTTGCTGCTTCTTAAACACTTTGTATTATCACCATCTTCATCTGACCCTTTTGTTTTTTTCCAACATGGTTGTCTATGTCCTCTTCTCTCCTCCACCATCTCCCTTTTATGCCTCAGGAGCCTGGTTTGCTGTCACTTAAGTACCAATACTGACCCCAAGTGGTGAACAGACTGAACTGCAGCTCTCCTTTGCCAAAGATTCATAAATAAAGGATTTTGAAGCACTGTAGTTGACAGAGATTCCAGACCTTATGATAAGGTGTGATTATTATTATGTTTTTTCTCATGTTGACGCTTTCTTTACTCTCTAACCCCACAGAATGCCCTTGCACAAATCCAGCTCTGAAGATGGATCTGGAGGTAAATTGAGATGCATTTTCATGTTTATCTTCTGCCGTCTTAATACGTTTCCTATTATATTTAGCTTAACATTTATTGATCCCTGGGGAGAGATTGAAAGGTGGGAATAGCCAGACACACATGTTTGCATAAGGGTCATACTTTATTGTTGCAAGAAATGGAGCAATGGTTACACACATGCAAATATGTAATATTGTATACTAAAAAGTTGGTACAGTCATTTTGTGCTTGCTTTTCTGTGGCCAGAAACCATATAATATAATGCTAATCTTGCTGAACCTGCCTTCTCTTTAGGTAAATGGGACAATAAGAAGAAGAACAAATCTTTCTGGCAGAACTTCCGCAAGTCTCAGCACAAACCAGTCATGCGACAGACATCTAAAGGTTGGTGCAGCTTTATTTCTCAGATATGCTATGCTGAATAGGCATTGCCCCACATGTGAACTTTTGCTCTTTTCCCTCTGCACCCTTCAGGAGAAGACATAGGCTACGTGGCCAGTGAGATCACCATGAGCGATGAAGAGCGAATCCAACTAATGATGATGGTGAAGGAGAAGATGATCACCGTTGAAGAAGCTCTAGCTCGGGTAGGAAGCTCAACTGACTCCCTGCCTCACCTGTTGCACCTTCCTCCCCACCCTCACTTGACCCTCTCCCTTAGGATTCCCAGTTGTAGCCTCCCTTTGACCCCCTCAGATCACCTGACCCCCCCTCCCCATATTAGTTTCCAGCCCTCCCCTTCTGCTTCACATTCCCCCCACAGTTCTGGCTTACTAAAACGACTCACTCTTACTAACCTGTACGAGGCCCCGCATTTTAACCCTGCATCGTCCTCTACCCACACACACAAACAAACTCCAGGCAATTGGTGCTTTCAGAGGTTCAGGAGTCTGGGGATTTTTAGGGTGTGAGCTTATGGAGTGTGTGTGTGGGTGTGTTGTTCAGTTCATAATTGCTGGATTGATGGTCATAGTGACTCAATAGCCCCATCTGTTGGGCGGGATGCTCTGGTGCATTGTGGTTTTCCTCTCTAGGTGGACATGGTGGATAATTACTTGGCTTTCCTTTCCTTTTCTTTTCGATCAATTTCTGGCGATTGTTCTTTCTTTTTTTATTTGCCTATTTCTTCTTCCCTCCCTCCTTCCTGTCAATCACTTTCTGTGATGCCTTGCTCATGGGTGGCATGACTGTCCAGCAGCATTTGAGCGCTGGATTGCTCTCCACAAGGCTGAATAATTATCCTCTTACCCCTTTTTTTCCCTCCAGAACTTTGATTTTCTTTTGGCCAATAGCTTGATTCCAGCCTATCTAGTGATTGGAACTCAGTTAAACCAATCAATGTTCAGCCTTTGTGGATAGTTGATTTGACTTCTTGTTGTGCTTCTGTGTCTTTATTGAGTGTGTTGTATCAGTCAGTGTAGTGGTATGTAGTATGTGTCCAGGGATGTAGTGGAATAAAATATAAATGTAATGGTATTCTGTCTGCCTTTAAATCCCCTTTTTCTTATTTATTCTGTAAGACTTATGGCTGCTCATAAAGGCAGACATAAATCTTCATGACTAAAAGTCATACCACACATATGAAAAAGGAAATTTGCAGTAGCATAGGGACATAAATATATGTATGCTTTAATTAGTGGCGGTTTGCACAGAAATCACCAAACTCAGGTTACAGTTCACACTTTTTATTTACCACTACATCACTGGTTGAGTCCTTATGTTCTGTCTGTCTGTGCGCCTGTCTGTCTGTATACATACACTGTGAATGCACACGACTGACGTACATCAATCGTCTGATAGTGTATGGAGAGATGTAGCATGCTCGGTGAGAGTGGGTGGCCCTGTCCTGTTCCTCTGCCTCTCTAAACTCTTCTTTTCCACGTAGCTGAAGGAGTATGAGCGCAGCAGACAGTCCAGCAGTACTGACACTGCAGAGTGGACTGACGGATCCGCAACCAATCTAAACCAGTCCTCAAACTGCAACGTAAGTACACCCCACCCCCATTTCCCCCGTCACCCCCCCCAAAACCCTGACCTCTCCCTCCTTTGCTTCTCTTAACACTCTCCCCTGGACCACTCTCACCTTTAAGTTTGATTTTTCAGCCAACGTGGTTTTGAAGGAGGACGGCCGTTGTTGTTTCAGCATATGTGTGCGTGGATGTGTGTGTTTATTCAGATGTAAACGTGTAGCTTGATGTATAGACTTTAGATACAATCCATCTTTTTAAATATGATTGAAATATTTAAAATTTTGGACAGTTGTATATGCCATTGCATACAGCACCTTTGTTCAACTTTTATCTTACTTTTCTCTCCCTTTCTCTCCCCTTCTCTCTCTGTTCATTGGCTGAACTACAATATATTGGCCTTTGCACATACATTCTCTCCACCATGTCATGTGCATCTTATCCAGGTGTTACTTCTGTGAATCTTGGCCCTCATTTGAGATATGTCCTCAACATAGTCAAAATTGGCTGCTGTAGTGACAAGGAAATTGTCTTATGGAAATTTAGGTCCGGTCTGTTTCCACCAATCAGTTGTAATTGTAACTTGCAGAAAGCCAAGCGGAGAGTCACACAAAATACCCTAAAGTCCCTTGCGGCGTGAGCTTTTGTTGGCAGTGATTTTGTCAGCTGTGATCCACAGAGAGGAGGCCTCCAAACCTCGAGACCTTTGAGGGTTCTTTGTGAGGTGTTGAGGAGCTGGAACTCAGACAATCAGGCTCTGTTGGATGCAGTTTAGTGTTTGTTGACTATCAATCAGTTATTTCTGTTGTGTGTTGTATGTTGCATAGGTTGATGTGTTTTTCTTTAAAAAAAGAAAAGGAGAAAATGTAGGTCAGCTCTGATGCAGCAACTTAAAGGAGTCAGCTCTTCATTAGTTTTGTACTGTATGGCATCATATGGGAATTGCATGCAGTCATACAGTCTCTGACCCACTTTTTTTTTTTGCAGGAAGTGAGTTTATCCAAACATTACAAAATTCCAAGTCCTCTCAATATAATTCCACGCACATGCGTATTATTACTGTTCTGGACTTTTCCACATTCAACCTTAGCTCAAGTTCTGTCTGCTGCCCGGCTGTTTGATGTGGTTGTGTGAACTGTGACTGAGGTTGCTGATCGTCTTATCAGTCTGTTAACCCTCACATTACCCCTCTGCTGGCAGCTGCTCGCTTCCTGTGGTGGGGGGTTTACAGGGGAGAGGATGGAAGGGTTACTGAAGGAGTATTGTTTAGTGGAACACACAACTTGGCTCTGGAGGCTGTGAACAAATGCAAGAGCTGGAGGCAGAGAGGAAACAAGGGAGAGAAAAATAGGGAAGATAAAGACGTCGCACTTGCCCCCAGGCCGTGAAAAAGGGGGAGTTCTGTATCTCCCCTTGCCCCGAGTTCCAAAATTGGCTTCTTCAGGAAATCCTGCTACTCTGCTGGAGCCTCTATTGGTGTCACGCACTGCCCCCTCTCCCCTCTAATGAATAGAATTAGGTCATTCCCAAATTCAAATAGTTAACTGTTTTGCGTGTGTCTGTGTTCTATATACGGGTATGTGAATATACAGTACATGCTTGTCGCTGACATGTTTGCAATATATAATCTTTGGCTGCTCTGTGCCTTTCTCTGATGCAGTCTCTCTCTGGTCTGTCTTCCTCTGGCGATTGGAGGCCACATTCCAGGGCTGGCCATTAGTGATGTGGGGGCCAAGGCAGGGTCAGAGGGGCTCAAATGCTGGGATTGTTCTCCATGCACAACACGCCTTTTCTCTACTAGCTGTGCGGCACGGCACTTCCAAGCTGTCCCTCATTCCTCAGAGCTGAATTCACTAACAGGCTGCATCTGTATCTGCCAGCATGTGCACAGGGAGCACAGATATTATTTTGGATCATGCATGCGTGAGAATGTGGTCTCTGCACTGCAGTTTTGCGGGACCCACTCTTGCTAACTGGTTGGATGTTGACACAGAAAGCTGTACACTGCTGTTTTAAATGAGGTGGTAAGTTTCGTGGTGCTCTTAAATGTTTGAGTTAGATTGTTTCTTTTATGATTGTCCCGTTCTGTTTTTGTGGTAGGATGACAGAAAGATCTTGGTGTGCACCACGGGGATGTTGGTTTGGAGGTTTCTAAGTTTAACTGCATCTCTAAAGTTATTGGAATGACCCTCAAAGTAATTTGTGAAGCGACGCAATTATGGTGATGGAATTGTTGTTTTGACTTTGTTTTCAATGGCGGCCTTTCAGCCCTGCTTAATTCATCGCCTCCTGTGTTTGGCTTTCTTTCTCTGTGTGTATCTTATCCCCTGTTTATCTGGTCATTTGCATGGATGGTGTTCCTCGGGGCTGGGTTAGGACTTGTATATCATTGTCACCTCTTTACATTCTCTTACTCCTTTTCTCGGTCGGTCACAAAAGGACAAGAACAAATTTTGTGGGCTAACTCTGAGATTACTAAGACAGTCGTGCTGCACATAGTTAGCCTCACATATCAGAGACATAAAAGTGACTCCGTATGAGACATTCTGTTTCTTTACAATTCTCAATAATAGTTATTAAGAGGAACCAATATACAGGAGTGGACTCCAATCCAACCTCTGGTGGTCTCATTCATCTCACAGTCTTTCTGCTGCCTCTTTTATCAGTCCTCTCTGACACAGACTTGTTATTACATTACATTCTCTGAAGCTAATACACTCAAGCACGGTCCAGGGCAAATGGAAAGTTGAAGGAGTCACCACTGTGGCCAGAATTGTGTGGTTCAGTTGTGGGATTGTCAAGGAGAATTGGGCTGAGGGACATTGGCGTTATGGGTTTTCAGAACCCATTTCTGCAGATTGTGAGAGGGCTAAAGAATGGCTATATCCTGGCTCCGGTCTGCTGGGCCGATATAACAGAAGACCTAAATGTTGATCACGTACCTCTAAAAATGTTGAAGTGGAGGCAAAGGGAGGAAAGTTTGATAGAATGCACTTGCACGATGCCTCATTGATTAATGTGTTGTTTCCTTTTCCAACTTGGCAATGATTGGTAAGGTTTTGTAACACGTGCAAGCCTGCAGTTGTTAACATCACCCCTAATGTATGCCAGTAGCCTCTGAGCCAGACCTATGGTCTAAACTCAACAACAGCGAAAAAATGGTTTCTTCTCTTTTAGCTTCAGAGTTGAAGGAGAAGACATTTTATCAGACAGAGAGATGAGCCCTGCAGGCCTGGTCTGTCTAGTTTTGTCTATGTGAGCATTTGTGCATGCATGTGTGTCCCTTTCCAAGTGATGCAGTCAACCTCGACCGTGGAACTGCCAGTATGTGACCAGAGAGGTGGTGTTGCTGTGGAAACCAGTGGCAAATAGAAACAAATTAGGTTGTTTGAGCTCCCATGATAATCCTGCCAGACAATCTTTAGGCCAAAGCTCTGCTCATCAACATCACCATCATCACATGGAGGCAACAGCGAGACTCAACACACACACACACACACACACACACACACACACACACACACACACACACACGCCGTGCACACACATACAAGCTTGGGGAGTTTTTGTGTGTTTGTGTGTGCTCCAATTGAGGAGGGGTGTGTGTGTGATGAAACTGTTTGTGACTTTATTATTCTGTCTTTTTTCCACTCACTACTTTGTGCAGAGGGTTTAAATGCAGTGGCCATCAATGGAGAGAAAATACGAGGATGTTTACACCCATAACATAAAACCAGTGTCCTTCCATTTTCTCTGGAGTAAACATAATGCCAAATGGACCATTTTTTGTAATACTGATTCATTGTGCCATTCTGTTGTACTCATTTTTTCAAATTACTGTCATCTGGTTCATTATTTGAGAGCATTTGTTCTGTGTTTACTATGACTATAAACTTCATACAATGCAGCGTGCCACCATCCTCCATTTCTCACCTCACTAACTTTGACTCCATCCTAAGCAATGCTCCCATCTGTCGCACTGTAACAGCATCTCCAATCTCAAAATACATGTGACAAAGTTTGTGTTTGATTCTCTCACTACTTTTTATATTAAATAAATTCAAAACAAAACCATGTATTTCTGTTACACCTGGATTGATTAAATGCTATTACCTATGTTTTTTTTTTTAAAGGTTTATTTAATTGGAAAGTGTTTGACTGTCTGTCCCTCCCTTTATTATATCATCCCTCCCTCTTTCTCTTTCCCACCAGTCTCGTGAACAGTCAGACGATGAGCAATCAGAGGACTCTGTGAAGTTCAAACGACTTCACAAGTTGGTTAATTCTACACGCCGGGTCAGGAAAAAACTCATCAAGGTGGAGGAGGGCAAGAAACATGGCTCTGAAGGTTTGTGTTACCTGAGTTCCTTTGATTTACTTACAGTTCAACATAATTTAAATCCAAAGGCATTATACTTCCACTGGATATGTGTATTGTAGTAGTGTAATGTAAACTCTGCTTGCAGTACTTGTGACAGTTGTATGTTGATTATCCGTGTTGAGCACGAAATTGAGCTGTTTGTCCTTACTAAAATGAAGTTGAAGTTTATAGTTAAATGTGTGCTTCCAAATGAGGGTTAGTGGGAATTAATGAGTCTTGTTTTTTGTTTTGTTTGTTTGCCAAAATTTTACATTGTCATGGGTTTTGCCCAATACTCAGACTTTAAGAATGTGTTTGGAAATTTTGCTAGCTAGCTGTGGTTTGGAAAACCACAGATGGGTCATGAGACTACACAGCCTCAAATGTCTAAATCCTCTTGAGTAACTAATTTTTCAGTCGTCGTCTTCTTTTTCTTTAGACTTTCTGAATCTGGAGGCGCCTCCCACCTGTGAGGACAACACAGCTCTGTATACAGGGGTCCTAAAGAAGCCCCCTTTGCCCCAGGAGATCTCCCTTCCCTCCCTCACCCAGGATCAACTCTCTTTGGATGGAGACACAGACAGTCTGACCAACTCCCCTTCCTCCAGCAGCCTGGACACCTGGTCCGGGCACAAGCTGGTCAAAACCTTCAGCAAGTCTTCTAGTACCCACGGCCTCATCCGGCCCCCCAGGAGAACACCAGTTAGCTCCGGGGGCCTGGGAGGATCCATCTCCGGCATTGGAGGTAGTGGCTCTTCCTTCTCAGAGCTGGATGGCTGTGGATTGGACGACGAAGGAAAGCTGTCACGCTCAACGACCGACGGCGAGATGCGGAAGGCGCTGAGCTCCATCTCCCATGGGGTAAGTAACAATGAAGCTCTCTACGCCTACTATGGCCTCACCAAACCTCGCCCCAAACCCCATGCCCAGTCCCGCCTCCTGATATCCCTGGATGACGGTCCACAAGGCAGCCCCAAACACCAACCTGCCAACCGGCACCATGGCAGCTGGACGCACCGGAAACCTGACCCCAACTATGCTTACTCCACTAAGCACCTACTGTATCAACGCTCGCGCAATGCCAAGACCCCTGTCTCCCCTCTGTCTGTCACCCCCTCCTCCCCTGCTCGATGTGATGTAGCCAAATCAAAGGGTTTTGGAAGCGGGGGAGGAGGCTGGGTGTTCCCCTCCCGCAGGCTGCGTGGTCGAACGGCAGTCAGTGAGCTGAACATCACCTATGTGGTAGAACGGAGCCTGTACGGTCACCTCAACTGGGCCCAGCTGGTCCGCCCAGTTACCCTCAGCCGCGCTGAGCGCCGCTGTCTGTTGGAGGAGGACCGCGAGGCGGACAGGAAGTGGGCGGCCAGTGTGGACCGCTGCACCAAGCGGGTACTCTTGCGCATCCAACAGAAGTCTGTGAGTTTAGACCATGAGGTTTAAATCGACCGCCTCGTGTGAGCAGGACTCGGTGCTTCAAAGTTGCAGAATAGCTCAGAGGTTATAGGTGAAGGTGCAGCAAACATACACAAACAAGACACATGTCAGGTCAAATTACTTAAACTTATCCGTTAATATTGTCTGTGTAAGAAATCCACAGTATTGCAGCTGTGCTCATGAGTAGAAAAAGGGCTATGGGCTGGTGTATATATCACAGACCTAACTGCCCCAGAGGAATGTCATCTTCTATGACCTTTAAGTGAATCCCTTTGGCTTTAAACCTTTATTTCAGCTGAATATGAAATGATTATGGAATGTGCGGTGGCCCACTTGGGAGGTTAAGTTACAGCAGAGATTTTATAAGTGCCTTTTATAAATGTCAGACCCCTGAAGCACATGCATACACGCACAGTCACACTGATCCCTGTGGGTAAAAGATGTTGTACAAGCTTGAAACTGCTCATCCTTAGAACTGCACAGCACGTAGCCTCAGAGGCATGTTCAATGAATGGCTTTATTAAGTTAACTTAAGGGACTGAATGGTCTTTACACTTTTAATTTGATCTTGTAAGAGTATAGCAACAAAAAGTGGAAACAACAGGAAAATGGGTAAACTACATCTAATACTGATTCATACTACAGTGAATGTAAAATGCAGGTTCACAACTTTGTAATGTCAACCAGGATGAAAACAGCCTGGTTGTGTTGCAAATAACTCACTTATTCCACACATATATCCAAATAGCCTGTGTGTATCAGCAGAAGTAGTGGCACATACGAGGTGGTGATATAGTGGAGCTATCCTGCAGCTTTGAGGGTACCTGAATCCTATCGTGTTCTGGTGAAGTCACTGGAGGTCGTTCTCATCCAAAGACTCTTTGACTCCACTTTTTCTGTTGTTGCTTTTCGTGTTCTTTTTTGGCCCGTGCCTCTATGGTTGCAGATGTGATTTTTTATTTTTTTTTTCTTTAGTTGTTTTTCTTTCCTATAATTATCTTTGAGAGACATTTTTTTCTGGGTGCATGTCCATTCCATCGAACATCGCCATGACATTCAGAGTTGTTTTTGGACGTCTCTTTAAACGTGTTTGTTCTCCAAACTATGCTTTTCCTGGGAAGTTGTGATGTGGACTGCAGCTGTGGACATCTAATATAAAAGCTATGTTCTTAATGTGCGATGCCTTCTCACACTTGAGGATCTTCGTCTAGGATTTGCGGGAGTAGTTTAGAAGTGGCTTTTGAAGCAAAGGAGAAATGCCATCAAGTGCCCCACTTGAATTGAGAGTGTTTTTTTGGCAGATGCGTACATGCATGACTGTGTATACATGTTTTTGTGTGACCTACTGCAAAGCTCAGGTTGGATTCAAAAAGTCAAAGCAGGTTCAGTGATAAGATCCTAGATCTCTTATTCCTCTCATGTCATAGTTCCCCTTTGTGTCTACCCCTTATCTTGCTGTCCTCTAAAGTCAAGAAAAAATCCATATCACCCTGTCCTCTCAGCAGAAACAATTTACTCTCTCTCTAAAAATGTTTCTGATGAGACTAACATACTGTCGGCCCTAAGTAACCAACCTTTATGTTGTGCATGTTGGCATACTAAGTCCAGTTTTGCATTTCTCATAATTAACCACAAGACATTTTGCATCAGGCTGAAATGCAACAAATATATGTTAACTTGTACAGTTATGTGTTTTAGCTTGGCCACATCAAGAAAGCCTTAATTGAATTCCATATTTCTTCCGGGGATTTGAGTTCTAAAGCATATGAGCAACTCGTTGCGTGCTCTCCACGCTCAATATAACAGCTCATTTGCCAAGGACCGTGCAGTAACTCGCAATTTTAAAGAGGAGCTCATATAACAGTTTGTGTTACATCATGTCTGTTGGCTGTCCACAGTCCCATATGACATCATGCCCCCGCATATATATATACAAACCATATACCCATGTACATTAATCAAACTACTGCCTGTGTTGCGCCAAGCATGAATCACTGTGAGTTGACCCTCAGTGGGTGTGGATGGGAAGTTTCTGTAACGTGACCTTCTGAATGTGACTTATTTGATTGTGTTTTGGCTCCCCAACAGAGAACATGCAGCTTTGGAGGCTTTGACCTGTCCAACCGTTCGCTCCATGTGGTCAACACCGGCTCGGAGGCCAACGTAAGTGCTGGCAGCTTGTAAAATTAGAAGAGGCTGTAAGGAGCACAAGCCGTACTCTCCTGTCACACTAAATCACCTTTTCTCTTCTGTTTTTTCCCTTTGTTTTTGTGACCTTCCTGCCCTTTGTCTTCTGCCGATTCGTCCCTATCTCTCCTCATCTGTCTTTCGCTTCTTTCTGTCACCTCCTTCCTCTTTGCCTGTCCCTTTCTGTTCTCCCTTTCCTTCTTCTAATCACAGAATAAAGAACAGGAGGCTATATACCGAGAAGTGGTCAAATCCCCCACTACGTCTCGGATCTCACTTGGCAAGAAGGTCAAGTCGGTCAAGGAGACGATGAGGAAACGTATGTCGAAGAAGTACAGCAGCTCCTTGTCTGAGCAGGTTAGATACAAACGCACTTGAATACACACAAATACATGTGGATGCAATTTTTGAATTATTTGGAGAAAGTTCAGATAACATTAAACACTTCTTAGGTTTCCCTTGTTTTCACGCAAACGAAGCGTGTGTAAACATAGTCAAGCCTTAACTTTATTTAAAATTAAACACATAAACGGTCCCACAAATCCACACATTATGCTTTTAGTCCTTAAAACAGCGAGCCAAGCGCAGTTGTAAAGAAAGAAAAGCTCCCCGTGTTCTGCAAACATTTAGAGGATGTTTTGCAGTATAAGCCACATATTCTGTCCACAGGCTGTGAGTGGGTGGGAGTATTTGTGTTAGTTACAGAATAAACACAGTGCACTAAAACACACACACATTTGGATTTCTCTCCACTCTGCTCTCCCTGGGCTCAGTGTGTAGGGTGGAGTGTGTGCTTCATGCTGAGCTCATGAAGTGATGCAAGTCTCCCCAGGCTAGCTCTTAGGAAATGGAGACTTAAAGTGTGAGGGAGTATAATGGCTGTCTCATCTGCTATGGCCTAATTTTTTGGGGCATTCAGTGGATTTACTGTGTGGCCTGTCCAGCCCTGCAGTTTGATGTTGCCCTGCCGAATGTGCCATTAATGCACAGTCTATCATCTGTCTGTCATGGTGGTCTCAACACTGTGACCCACATATCTTGGCATGAGTCATGAAGCCATTGGTTGCAAGAAAGCAAAGAAAAATTAATTGCCATGTCTCGATGCCTTAAGCATGGCCATTTTATAGACCACAATGCCACCTAGTGGACAAATAAAACACTAGGTGTTGATGCATCATGGTGCACGGTGTATGTTGTTCTATATCATATATTCATAGTGTATAATCACCTGAATATAGGAATCACTGTGTTTTTGTTAACTTAGAATGAACCTGTACAAATGCCATGGGTCACCTTCCACGGAGGACGCCATGTTGAACAGTGATGTTTCTACAGTAGCCCAGAAGTTTCGGGCCACTGTAATTTCTCCTGCTCCCATTCCCAAATTCCTTTAAACTTTACCATTGCACCCATAATTTGATGCAATTCCTGTTGAAATCAATTGTTCAGAGTGAGGCATCTAGTGTAAACCAACACTTATAGCTGAAAGGACAGGCAGAAAATAAAATCTTGTGATTTATAATGACATTATTGCGGGACATTTTTGGTGCCCCTACCACTGCAGCTTGAGGTCACTTAAGATGTGCTGTTTTTTCAGGAAGATTTATAAGGTCTTTTAAATGAAAAAAACCAAACAAATAACAATAAAACCAATAAAAAAAAACCAATAAAAAAAAAGTTTAGCAGCGAAATCTTCCTGACTTTGTATATTTTTCACAATTGGTAAATTGTTGACTAATAACTTAATCACATTTATGCTAAAAACCTTTATATATGCACCTTTTTTTTTCAGTAAAGATGAAAAATACTGACAACCCTTATCACCCCCCCACTTCCCTATTCTTTTTCCACCCTCTTCACCTTTAATCTTCATTTCTTCTTTGTTTCCATCGTTTCCCCCGTATGTCGACCTCTTAACCACACTTTCCCCCCTTTCACATCCTCTCATCTCTTAACTGCACGACATTTCCTTTGTATCTTCCTCCCATGTCCTTTCATTACCCATCTGGATCCTCCCCCTCTCTTTCTGTCTTTTAGTCCAGTCCGGATGGAGCCCCTGGCTCCCCTCAGTCCCCTCAGCCTGACACCGACTCTCTGGAGAAGCCGAAGCTTAAGGCCGGAGGATCAGTGGAAAGTCTGCGTAGTTCACTCAGCGGACAGAGTTCGATGAGTAAGTTTTAGAAAAACTGTTTTTAAGCCTGATCATTTTAAATGGATCTTTATGTTGTATATATGTAAAATATTGTATGTAAGTAAAGGCAATCTAAATATCTGTAATTTAGTTTACACCTTACGTTGATAGCCTGTTTTAGGCAATGTTTAACACTAGATGGTGCTCCTAACATTTGATTCTTGCTGCCTGACTTAACTTTTGTGGTGCTTCTGGCATTACATGTATACCAATTATGATTTTTGTGGAGTGATGAACAGCAATTCTCTCCATCGATTACCCCCGGGCCCACCAGCTGCCTTATGTGCTGTGATCTCACAGAGTTTTCAAGTGCATTTTGACCTCTTTGGTCATCTTATCTAATTACACCTTCTGATTACTTCAACCTGTTGATTCCCTCACGTCTCCCTCTCTGTGGATAAAATACCCTCCATGAATACTTGGCCGTCTTACAGTGATTCAAAGCCATAGAACATGCACATAAACTTGCAGGCAGACAAGCGAACATGCGGTAATGATTAGGTAGGAAGTCTTGCCTCTCCGATTCCCACACGTCTACATGATTTCAACAGCCTTCCCTCAGATGCAAAAAGAAAGAAAAGAAAAGAAATATGCAGCTTCTCCCAGGATCTGTTATACAAGTGCTTAAGACCTTGTTAAAGATTTCCACTCACAGCAGACACAAAAATTTTGAAAAAGAAGCTGACAAAATAAAATGAATATAGTGTTCACATGTAGCCTTGTAACTTGATAAATGCAAGCTATTATAGGTTGACTACGAAGATGACAACTTGAGTCAGGATTTACTGCATTGCATAGTGTAAAGGAAACCTCCAGTCAAATGCCATCATTTTGTAACAAGTGACCAGTGAAGGCTTTACAGGCAGTCATTTTATAGCTCCTATAAATCTCCTTCTGTGTGTGTTTGTGTCCAGGTGGTCAGACAGTGAGCACCACAGACTCGTCAGCCAGTAACAGAGAAAGTGTGAAGTCGGAGGATGGTGATGACGAAGAGCCGCCTTATCGGGGGCCGTTTTGTGGACGTGCTCGCGTCCATACAGACTTCACCCCCAGCCCCTACGACACAGACTCCCTCAAACTGAAGGTAAAACACACTTTGGGGCATGGAAGTGATTACAGTTCATGGATATGATAAAAGATTTTAGTTTAAACGGTTCAGTTTTTCCACGCTAGTCGCAATATTTTTGACCAACTATCTGGTTAAAATTCGAAATGCAAGAGTTTCTGAAATCTTGTCATTGTGATTTTCCAGCACGGTGATGTGATTGACATCATCAGTAAGCCACCCATGGGAACATGGATGGGCCTGCTGAACAACAAAGTGGGGACCTTCAAGTTCATCTATGTGGACGTGCTGAGTGAAGAAGAGGAGAAGCCCAAAAGGCCCGTGAGGAGAAGGAGGAAGGGCCGACCACCTAAGCCCACATCAGTCGAGGAGCTGCTAGAGCGCATCAACCTCAAGGTAGATAAGCAAGAGTGCCAGATTGGGTACAGTATTGCCTTATTGTTGGATTCACAGATTTTGGTCATCTCACTAAGTGTCTTTTAAGTTTTCAGTAGCAGTAAAGTTTAGTAGATTTACAGACACTGATTATGTCTACTGTATGAACTTTGCAGAAATCTGCGAATTGTCCGAGCTGAAAAACCCCACCCATCTGGCACCTTAATTGGAGAAAACAAAACTTAAGAAGTAAATGAAAATATTGTTTTAGCCAAGTATCTTCAAAACACTTTTGCAGACAACCAAAATATAAATATAGTGTAGGTAATTACAGCCCGCACAGCTTAGGATGTTTGATCTGACACTGACGCATAAACATTAACACCCACATTCTCACTACCACGCCCCAAAAAATAACTTGCATGTTTCATCAAAACCTACACATAGCTGTGAGCTTGATATAATCTCCTCCCACTCATGCAGCCAGCAAGCCTCACCTCCCCGAATAGAGAAAAAGACTTTGTGGGTTGTGTGTTTTATCTCTGGCCAGCCTAATGGCCAAGTCACAGATTAAAGATCCGGAGTACATTATTAATGTTACAGCACAGGCGTCATAAGCTGTGAGTCTGGGTGTTACAAGTGCATCACAGCACTCGGGTCCCCTTGGTCACCACCGGATTCCTGCAGTGGGCAGGTTAGACTAAACACATATAGAACATTTTAGAGTTTGTAGCCAATGTGTATTATCTTACCAGGTATTTTAACCACTCTTACCTCGATTTGTGGCCTGCTGATGATGGAAAAAGTAAAAATGAATTCCAGGCCCACACTTTTCTTATCCAACATGATCGTGTCAAGCACCATTTGCATCCAGTTATTCAACTTGTGCCGACACAAGTGGTCTTTACTGTTCATAAACATCACAGCAAATAGATTTAAGCTGAAGTAAAAAAAATAAATAATCTAGTTTTAAGAGCCTTTGTCTTGATTTTCAGTGCTTCTTGTCTTTTATGACTAGTTTTAAGATTAGGAAGTTTTTTGCAGCAGCCTTTTTGTGTTCGGTTCTTATGAGTCATCTTTGGCATTGGCATTTTTTCTCTAGATGACAGTTTTTTTTACTTGTTGATAGAGGGGGATTTTTTTTTGTAGTGATAAGTTTGCAAATGTTTTACTGCAAGAGTGCGTCACTTGTTTTCCGCAGTGTAGATATTTCCTTTGTGTGTCCATGTTCACAGAAATGGTTAGGATCCATATGCCATTCAAATACAATATGAGTTATGATTCAGCTGTCATACATCAAAGGACTGAGTCTGTTGTTGGTTTGTACTTTTATAAATAGAAAGTAACATTTGGCTAAACTGGCGAGGCAAAATTTGGAACACACATCAACATTCCCTGTCTGTAACCGTAAAGTGTAAATCTCCACACCCTTGTAACTTCTCGGTCGATGGATTCTCTGCCAAAAAAACCTTTGGATTTTGGAACATGTTTGAGTTTTTGAGTGGCCAAAAACACAAAAGATACTGTGAGTGAGAGGACCCGGCTGCCTGTGTTTGTGTTAGTTGGTGGTCCTTTTGTTTAGTCCTGCATCATCCAGCAGAAATAGAACAGAGACACGCAGTTCTCCGCTGTGGACTCCACCATTGTAATTGATGGTCTCGCTGGTGACACACAGTCTATGTATTCTCACAACAAAGTGTGTGGGTCACACAAACGTAGAGCCCAGCAATATTCAAAGTGGAAGGAGTTATGAGTGTGTTGAATGATAGTGTTAGCTGACTGTGCACTCACACAGGGCGTATTCAAGTTTTTTCTCTATGTCCGTACCCTCTCAGATAACACAGTGGTTTGGGTGACGAGCCTTGGTTTTGTTTGTGTTGGTGTGTAAAACTGTGTTGTCTGTGGTTGAAGAGCACTTTGATGTAATCGTCTCCACCTTCGGTTCTTCGTGTTTCCACATTACGTTGGCGGGTTTCCCTTTCAAGTCCCGTTTGCCATTTTGGTCACAGCTAGAATAGCTTTCGGGATTGTGGCCACGCACTGCACGGCTCTTACTTGATTGGTGCAGCTAACTCGCTTACGTTGCTACAACTCACTTTTATATGCCTGTCAACATGACAAAGTTTGTGCCGTATTAAAGAGTGTTGACAGTTGAGGCAGCCATAACTGAATTAGCCATGGCTTAAAGTGATTACATGCCATCTAAAAATCTAAATAGCATTTTAGATTTGGCTCTCCAGTGGTTTAAAAATACAGTGTGGATTGGAAATTATGAGCAGGGGAGTGTGTACCTTACTCTTTTCTCCTTACCCGTCCTCACTGTTTGTACTTAATATATTTTATGTTTGGTCCCATGACCCAGATCCAAAGTGTATTTTTCTTTATTCTGGTGTATTTTTTCTTTAGTCTTCAGACACCCTCATTCTTAGCTCCTCAAAAGGAACTCTGACGTGATTTTTTCTGTCATGCAGGAACACATGCCCACTTTCTTATTCAACGGCTACGAGGACCTGGACACGTTCAAGTTGCTGGAAGAGGAGGACCTGGATGAGCTGAACATCAGAGATCCTCAGCACAGAGCTGTACTGCTCACTGCTGTAGAGCTGCTACAGGAGTACGACAGTAAGTAGACTCAGAAAAAACACATTATACATGATGATTTTGACTCACTCAAACTCCCTGGCTGTATGAAAGATAAATAATATTCGTTTTGATGACTGAAGACCTGGAATTAAGATCCTGGTGTTTACTGGGAATTCTCACCGAAATCTACTCTCTTTTCCTGGAAAAAATATTAGTCGGCACGTACGGAAGTACTTGAGACTATCTAAACTCCAGCATGCAGTTGTCATTCTTAGGCACTGAAGTACATAAGTGAGACAAGTGGATCAGGTGCTGCGTTTTTTTCCCCCAATAATCTTTCTTGCTGAAGTGCAGCATACAGTTCAGCTTGGTGGCTTACATTTGGGAATAAGTTTAAACAAAAATCAACTAAATTTCAACAAAACCAAATCATTTTTAAATCACAGTAAGGGGCACTCCACTCTACTGTTGCTGTCTAATAACTTAATGAACCTAATGTTGATAATGTTCCTATTTTCTGTGTGTCTTTGTATTCACAGGCAGCAGCGATCCAGAGCGTAGCGGCCTGTCAGGCTCTCAGGAGAAGCTGTTGTCTGAGGGTCGGGGCCTGGTCGGAGACTCCCCGCGGGACTCCGGGTGCTACGAGAGCAATGAGAACCTAGAGAATGGTAATGAAAGCTTTGCGTAGTCTAGGCCACCATTACCCAAGACCCACTGGGAATTATCCTTGCTTAGACCTAGTCTTGGCCTAGCCTAGACCTACTGTAGTTCCACAGCGACTCCTTCACCTCTTTCCTCTGTTGGCTTCCACTTCTGCTCCATCCCTTGCTCTACTGCAACACCTCACCCATCTTTCTCCTCTGGACCAGCGCCTGCCAATCAAACCGCCCATTTTGCTGCCATATCTGCCCCCAAAACCCTCACACCTTTAGCCCTCTAGTTTGGGTGCCCCTCGTCACCTCATTAACTTTTACTATCCTGTCACTCCACTCTCTTCGCCACTCTTTCAATCTCATAGGCATTCTGTATCGCCAGTGCCAAAGTCCAGTTGTAACTGAGAGGGAGCCAGGTTCAAGACCACTAAGCCTAGTCCACCCCACAGTGCTGGGAGCACAGAGGGAGAGAGCCTCCCCAAAGTACAGAACTGTTCTGATGAGAACAAGCTCGCTGCCCAGTCATGGACTCAGATTCCCAGCTCTTTCACCTGTGGATGCGAGGCTGATAGAAGGATATCAGGAGGATGATTATGGCCTCAGAGAGTATTTCTGTTAAGTGTTTTTAATATAGACCAAGAGCTTGCAGAGTAGCATGTCAATGAATGCCTGTTTATTTTGCTGTGGTGATTCTATAGGCTGATGAGGTTTTTAAAAAAATGTACTAGTCAGGTAACAGATCACAGCTGCCGTTTAATAACAACATTTCAATTTGTCAGTTTCGTTGTGTTTATAGTGACCATATTGCACAGACAATCATACAGTATGTGCCTAAAAAAAGATGTGGATGAAAATATTTTTAAATTGTAGTGCATAGATTGTAAGAGAGTTCTGATTATATTAGTCTATTGAGGTCTTATTTGTGAGATTTCGTTTTGGTTTATTTTTGACACTGCTCTATCCTCCTGCGTAAGACTGTATGCTTTCTTTCTTCCATGCAGAACATTCTTTTTAACAGCTCCATAACTCATAAATCACTGCTTTGTTAAACCTTGTCTTCTCTATATAAATGTTCAGTCCCAGTATAAGCACTGGGTTTCCCTTTTTTGTGTGTATGTGTCATTCAGGTTCAACTTTAAAGCGTGCAATCTGCCACAGTAGAGATTTAAGTTGTGGAATAAAAGCCACTTCTTTAAAAAAAAAAAAAAAAGACTCTGGTGCTGCTTGCTTTATTTTTATGCCCTTTTCTTCTGTCTGTTTTTCCTGCCATGCCACTAAACACTGCATAACATTTAGTAAACTTTCTGCATTTCTTCTTGCAGTTTCAGGGTTCCACAGTTCTCCTACCTGTACAAATTTATAAAATCATTAATATTTTACAGTATCTTAATGGGATATTTCTGGATAGTTATTAGTCTAGAGAATTGAAAAAGCAAAACGCTTCATTTAAATTTAAATAATAGAAAGCCATTAAAATTCATTGCGCAGAAATTTCTCCTTTTGGGGGGGAAAAAAGTCACTGTCGAGCCCTGAATATATGCCCTTTTAATCAATAGACCTTTCTTTAACATAAACGTCTGATATTTTTTCCTCTATCTAGAAGTAGTCATTCTTTCTCATATCATCCGATGACTTCTCTTTTCTAATCAACTTCCACTCATCATTTTCATATGCATACATCACGTGCTGATGTATTGGTCAGTTTAGTAAGGGGTCGAGTAATGGTGATATTCAGTCAGTGATCTCCATAATACAAAATAAAGAAAAAATTATGACACACAACTTTAGGTTTATTTGAAAACACCATATTTTGTGCATCTTAAATCAGTTGCTATTACTAATTACATTTCTATATAAAAAACAAAAGTTTTTATTTTTTTATTGATTTTATAAGAATATTAGTTTGGTCAAGTATTCTTATTATATATCAGTATAAATCTCATCATATTCAGAATTGAATGTACAACTTGCTCCTAATGCTGCTATATAATCCAATAATGCATCTAGTCTCTGACATATTTGCTATTTATTAATAAGTTGCAGTTTTATGCTTAACTTTTTTTACTCTTCTGGGAACTGTTGAGATATTTCATGACATTCCATCTATTGAACTCTTGTCTGTCATCCAACCATTTAAACTCTTTGGCAAGCTACACTATGTGGCACCCATCCATCTCATCCATCCATTTTGCTCTGTAAGCCAGAGGATAGATGGTAAGTTGCTTCAGTCTTTTGTTCCAATGTTTCTGAACTTTCCTGTCCAGATATCTTTATTTGGAGTTGCTGCTATGACAACAACAAATCAGCCAATTTGGTCATGAGTCAAAGAACTTATCTTATCCCAGTGGCACCCCACCCCTTCCTCATAAACATTTCTCTGCTTTTGATTGTGGTTTACAGATAAGCCTTTACAATGTTTTTCAAATGACTTGGCTCTGGCAGACTTGTTAAGAATAATTGGTCCTGTGAACATGTTTTCCAATGAGGTAAACATATATGATCCAGAGTATTTGTGTATTTTGTTACTCAGTTATAGATATTGTTTCCTTTTTTTCTCTATAGCAATTTTCTCCACTTTTGCCAAAATCCACAGCTATCAAGAGGAAAAAAGGAAAACAGTGTGAATGAAAGGCAGACAAAATATATCACATGCACTTTGTTAATACAGATCTGGTTTTATATTAAGCAGTTGGTACATTTTTATAAAAATGTCTAAGAAAGATAGTTGATTGTTTAGTCACATTAGGAGCACAAGGAGGAGCCAGAGGAACAAGCTTGTTTTCAAAGATTATGTGTCTCATGTGCTACTGTCAGAATATATTGAAAGTTTCAGTAAATATGACAAAAAGTTATTGTTTTAAAAAAGGAAAAGAGTCTACATCTCATTACTAAGATATGATAAATGTTTTCATTTTGCAGGTAAGAGCAGAAAGGCTTCCCGTTCCAGTCGTTCTTCAGCAGGCCTCCAGTCTCCAGACTACCCCACCCTGCCCATGACCCTGTCAACAGAGGCTCTGCAACAGAACAGCAAGAACCAGCGCACAAAGTTCCCCAAAAGCTTCTTCATCAAACCTTCCCTGAAGGGCTTCAACCTGCTGGGGCTTCGCAAAGCCCAAAGACAATCCCCCATTCCGGCCAGCCGCAGCTGTGAGGACCTGGATGGGCCCCCACAGCCCACTGGACCATGGAAACGCTCCCACTCTCTTGGGGATCTGCACTGGGAGCAGAACTTTGAGCATAAGGATCTGGGTGTGGAGCTTAAACTCACCAAGGACGGACCCAAGTCTGGCAACAGTAGCCCCAGCAAGGTCTCTAGAGATGAGGGTTCCCCAGCTCAGAATAGGACACCACCAGTGAGCCCAAAAGGAAGGGCCGACAGACCACCTGTGCCCTCCCAGCTGCCTCTTCGCCCCCCTTGTCGTACGACGCAGTCCCCCAACCCTCCAGAGCCCCTCTCCAGTCTGACTCCAAGTCCCCCCGAGTCTAATGCAAGCGGGGAGAGGGTCATCCGGACTCACCCCAAAAAGCCTCCAGTCCCTCCTCCCGTTCCTGCCAAGAAGTCTAAGGAGAGACTAGCCAACGGCCTACGTCACCCCCCTCTCTCCCTGCCCTCCTCACCCTCTCCCACTCCCTCCCCTACCCACTCCCTTAACCGTTCTCATCCCAGTAGTCCTATAATCCGCAGCAGCAGCAGCAGCCCCAGCCCCAGTGCCCCTGCTCTGCCCGCCAAGACCCCGAGCACCCCCGCCAGCCCCTGTGCCACCTCATCCGCCTCATCCATGGGCGAGGAGTCCGGCACTCCGCCAGCAGTGCAGCCTCCGTGGCTCTCTGATCTGGGGGGCAAGGTGGCTGTTGCAAGGAAGGTTTCCCATTCCAAGATGAGTCCTGACCTGCTCACCCTCCTGGAACAACGGCTGGAGGCTGAGGGAATCGATCTTACAGAGGAGCCCTACTCTGACAAGGTTAGAACAAACTTTCATTAATCTAAACTTGAGACAAGAAAAATCACCTCGCAATTCAGATTATAAATTACATTTGGCATGACGTCAGGTTGCAGATTGATAAGTGCACAGATGTACCAAACAAATGCTGGCAATAGTTGGCTAAAGTATAAAAACTTTCAAACTGGATTCCTTAATTAATTGATAATTCTGAACTGTATGCACTTAAACATACATGTTTTGTGCTGATAATTAAAATAAACATACACTACGGTATATAGATGAGGTATGGAGAAAACCTCTTTTTAGCTAACACATAATAAAAACATATAAAGCCATATTTCCATGGTTAATGTGAAAATGAGGCTTCAAGACACCTCGGGGCTATACTTGTCTGGCGTCAGGCTCTTTTAGTTTTGCACTGTAACATGCCTAACTAAACTCAGTCATAATTTCACTGCAGCTTGGATCCAAATTACTCTGTGTTGAGGCCAACAACATCAGCAGCTTGCTTTGGACCTCATTTAGTTTAAAAATAGAGACTATTAGAGTCTAGAGTTTGTATGTTTCTTTTTGTATGCAAGCACATTTGTCAGTGATGTGTGGGTGTGTGTGTATGCCCTATAATAAATACACTGCCTCGAGCTGAGTGAAAGACTGTGGGCTGAGTCTCACTATGATGCGGTTCAGACTGTTAAGTTTATGGGCTGAATCTTACTGAAGGCAGACAGGGTTATAAAACCCTCTGCCACTCACCAGACCCCAGGCTGGGCCCCCTTTAACATGGCAGAGCCCCCGACGCTGGCAGGAAAACAAAACACAAACACACAGAGGCATCAGGGGATGAGGTGAGAAATGGGGCTTTAGACCACAGCACAGCTGGTGGATTACTATTAGTCAGATGTGGATTGGCAGAGACATGGGGTTTGAGCCTGTACAGGTTGAACATGTTGAAAACCTTTTGAAATGGATTCCTTCCATTTGCTAATTAAAGTGTGCAATTACTTAATGGTCCAGTGTGCAACATTTAGGACGCTCTGTTGGCAGAAATAGCAATATAATATCCATAGATTTGTTTTCAATATTGTATAATCAACTGAATATATTGTTATTATTGTTGTGTTTTTGTTACCTTATGAGCGGTTTATATATACAGACTCCACAGGTTGCCTTCCATTGAGTCCGCCATGTTGAATCGCCATGCTTCTATAGTAGCCCAGAAGGGACAAACCAAACACTGGTTCCATATAGGAGCGTTATCGTTCTTTTGCTTGTTTCACGGCCACCATAGTTGCTCCTTTACTCTTAGAATGGGAGGGTGAAGCGAGGGAGTTTTAATGGCCTACTATATCGCTAGATGCCACTAAATCCTGCACACTGGACCATTAAAAAATAGTTGAAAAAGAATTTGCATCAAAGGCTTTGTTTGAATTATTTTTATTGCTTCGTCCTTTATGAGATATTTGCTGATATAAATGAGGAAATCTCCAGACTTAAAGATTTATAGACAATATTTTCTTGAGACCAGCTTGCTTACGACAACAAACACTGACGCACTGAGAAGTTTGGGATACTTTATTAAATGGAAAAACTAGAGGGGAAAAAACATGTTTATATTCAAAAACTAAGCTGTCGAGAGTGATTCTCTGATATCATATTGGCACGGCTATTACGTCTTTAAACTTCAATTCACTATTGGGTGCCCAAAGGCATCTGGCCCCAGACAGTGCGAAGGGTAGGCTTCTATGACCTTCTCTCCACTCTGCTTTCCGGAGGGATCAGTTCCTCCATCCACCCACCCTTTCATCCTCCTGTCCAGTTCGGCCAACCAAAACCAGGCCTTGCTGGAAACCTGCCATTGCTCCAGGTGTCTACACAAAGGCAGAGAGAACAAGAAAACAGAAAACAGCAGAATTTCCTGCCATGCTTGATCCCTCGCATCTCTCCTTACATCTTGTACTTTCCTCTTGTCTCATCCTGAACTGTTTTCCTTTTTATTAATACAAAATAAGATAAAAGAAAATGCTAATAGCAGAGGTAGACATACAAAACGTGATCTAGCGTGTGCTTGCAGTATCAGTGGAAATGGGGATTGGGGTATTGCTCATGTACTGTGGAGGAACCAGAACAAAATACACTGACCTGACTTACTTCAGAGTTTAATTATAGTCTATTTTCTAGTGTTTGTCTTCATATTTCGCTGACTCTCCTTTAGAATTGTTATCATTACGTTGCCAGACGATGTTCTTAGACCAGCAATTTTGATGCCATTAGTCTGCTTCATTCATTCATGAATAACCAGATCTTGATTTTCATAATGACTGTAATAAGTCAAAATTCTCCTTTTATGTAAGCCCTCTTTATTTAACCACTGCTCTCTGACACATTCAAATGTCTGATGTATTGTCCTCTTAGATTCTCTTCTTGGACACTTCATAGATTGTATTCCTCTATCGAATTAGTCATATCTAATGTCTCTTTCTTCCCTTCCTTCCTCCAGCATGGCCGGTGCGGCATCCCCCAGCCGCTGGTGCAGCGTTACTCCGAGGACTTGGGCCAGGCCGTCAAGGACGTGGCCTCCACCATGGACCAGCTCCGAGTCAAAGAGCTCCGTAAACAACACCGCATGGCTGTAAGGCGACAACACTGAGAACTACATATCAATTGAGACAATGTTGGAGCTATTTTTTGGGGAAATTATAGAGCTAGAGAAATGCTTAGTGAGGCTTTTCTAGAAAGTAACAATGCAGGCTGGAAAACAGACCAGTTGTGTCAGTAATTTCCCTGTACCCAAGGCTGGCGCCGTCATTGAGGAGCAGTGATTTTTATTCTTGCTTAAATATCTAACAAGCTTGGTAAATGTGGAGATATACTTTTAAGAGGCAGTTGTCAATGTATTATTGTTATAAGCAGCCTAAAAGTGACTTAATAGAGTCTATCTTTACTCTTTAGCTTTACATGATTTGGCCAAACAAAGCTGGCGTGCAGAAACACGGCTTGCATTGCCAACAAGTTTCCTGAAAATCTGAAAACCTCTATTGTTTTGTCAGCACAAATCTCTGTGTATATTCAGCAATGTGACATCATCAGACTACCTACTGTAACTAATGGCTTTTCACCCCCATTGTGTCACTCAGATCCCTTCTGGAGGTTTGACAGAGATGTGCCGGAAGCCTCTGCCATCAGGTAACATCAGCACGGTCTCTGATTGGCTCACCTCCATCGGCCTGCCCATGTACACCACGTCTCTGGCAGCAGCGGGAATTGACACACTGAATCGTGTGGCCTTGTTAACAGAGAGCATTGCATGGGAAGCCGGTGTGCGGGATGAAAGGCACGCCCGCCGGCTGGTCAGTGAGGCACGATTGGTCAGCGTGCACAGAGAGGTGCAGTCCTAACCGTGTTGGTGGAGTCATATAAAATAACAGGTATCAACTCACTGGTCAGTACCATCTCATTTAAACATGGTCAGTAGGTGGCCAAAGGCAAATTGGCCACAGGACTCAACGATCACTCGAGTGACCACAGCACTGCAGTACTACCTGTCTTGCACGTGTCAAAAGACTCACAGTGAACCACCCTGCTCTCTGTTTTCTCTCTCAGTCTGTTTTTCTCAAATGTTTACGGCATCGAAGAGTTTCTCCTAACAGCCAAGACAAGATATCAATTGCCTTTAAAAAATTTAAAAAAAAAAAAACAGACTGTAGACTCACTCTGTGGGATGGATTCCATTCTGAAGACACCCCCAAAGTCTTTAAATAAAGATCTGCCTTGAAGGAAGATTGCACACTCTTTTGTAGGACGGATGTTTTTTAAATACAGAAAGGACGGTTTACTTCCTGCATATTTCATAAGTGCTTCATTTTCATCTTTTGTGGCAAGGCAACATTATCGGAGGGTCTTCTAAGGAAGTAGCTTGGCCAAAGTGATTTACTTCTCATTCAACGTTTCATTCCCACTAATAGACTCATAATGACGATGACAGAATTCACCTAACATCCGGACTTTTAATCAACTAAATACATACACCAAACTATGAATAACTGGTGGTTTTGAGATGGCTTATTTTGTATCATGTTTCTGTATTATAGCATAATCTGAATTTTAAAATGATTTATATGTTAAAGTTTGTGTTAGCCTTTTGAATGTTGCAGCCTTATTTCAAGGCCAGCTCTCAGTCATTGCTAAGCTGAAACAAGCGGACATTACACCTTTTATATTTCATATTATACTGTATGTCCTATTTCACTGCATATCTCGGATGCACACCCTGCTCCGATATCAATATGAGTCTTACAGAAAGCTCTGTTTTGCTCCAGTAATCACAATCAGCTTTCACAGCAACAATACATTCCCGTGTATCCAAGCACATATTAAGTTGCCTTACCATTATGAATGAATAGCTTCATCGAATGGAACATATGTATAGTACTGACTATACCGTGACTGAGGCTAAACTGTGCTAAAGGTGCGAGCCTTTTTTTGTTCTGAATGTGTCTGAGAAATAATTGAGATTTTATGAGAAATGTTTTGAACTCAACCAGATCATTTCAGTGAAGCACATGGATGTGGACCACAAATGCCACATGGCTCTGATGGATTGCGGTCTCTATACTTGTGAAGCCCAGATGATTATCCACAGGCACGACACAGACGTCGTCCCATGTTTAACATCCCTTTAACATCCCAACACATTCACTGTACATGTTTCATGCAGAGGGGTTGTGGGACGAGGGAGGGAGGGAGGTAGGGAGGAAGGGAGGAAGAAGAAGAAAATAAAAATGTTCCACAGACACAGCTGACATCTGGGCTGTCATATCTGGAATTTATTGGACTGTCTACACTTTGGTTACAGTGTTGCAGAATTTGATTTATGGCTGGATAATAAGCTGTTTGGGACTTTTTAAACACATTATACTGTAGCTATAATCAATGCTGGTCTGAAATTCTTAATTGGACTTTTGCCAAACATACTGAGGATAGATAGTAAGAACAGTTATTATATCAGGTGAAAAGCTGACCTCCAAGGACAGCATACACTATGACACTAAATAGTCTTGCAAATCAGGGAAACGCTGCGTCGGGTCAGCCTGTTACTGAAACTATGGGCCAAAAACTGAAAACAACCAGAAACTCATTTCATTTGCACACTGCATGAAATGAAACTAACGAATATTCCTCGTTTGGGTTTTTTCCCTCTTATTTCTAACAGTTAGGTTCTATCTTTCATAGTTAGAACTGAACTAAAGGCTTATCCCATATATTTCATATTTAAAAATTTGAACAAGTGTTAAAATTAGATTTTTTTTTGCAGTGGGCATTTGATAGATAGATGTTTGATGCCTTTTTTTCCTCTTCAATCAAAGTGGTGCTCTGAGAAAGCAAGGATGGGGGGGTCATTATTAAATAAAAAAGACCCAATGAGTGTTTTGTAAAGAATGAAAATACTGACACTGTAAATGCACTTTAGAGGGTAAATCTAGCTGTTTTATAGGCGAAATTGGCTACATTTTGTTCACAGGTCCATAAATGGACATTTGTTGTCAGGTATTGTAAAGGGTTTCAGTGGGTTATGCTGGTATTTTATTTTAGTATTGAGTTCCCAATGCCAAGTTTAATAACCATTCACAGGTTAACCTGTTCCAGTTGTTCACTTCCAGTTTGTTTTTGCAGTCTTACAAAAATAAATTCTTAATTACATATATGAAATGCTTAGCAAAAGTTGCACATTCTGTATATGTAATTGATATTTAAATAACTTATTTTTGCTTTTTTTTCATATCAACTGTAATTAGCTGTACTATATGAATAGCAATACCTTCCTGCATAATGCATATTGCTTTAGCCAGTGAGGAACTACAGTATGTATTGTAAAATATGTGTACAAACTATTTTATTTGGTTTTCATCTACCTAATGATTGTCCATACAGATTTGCTTGTGTATTGAAACAACAAAAGTAATGTCCATAGCTATTTGTCATTCTGAAATATAATAAAAAACTGTTTCTTGCCATATGCTGGCCTACTGATTATTGCTACACACACACACACACACACACACACACACACACACACACACACACACACACACACAGAACAGAAGTGGAAAGACATGGGCATGGCCTACTGGCTCTTTTCATTAATGTGGTTAACTCTGACCCTGGACATTGGCCTGTTGATAACTTTCTTAACAACATTTTAAAATTAAAAATGAAAAAGTGTGCATGGGCAGCAAAATTAATAATAACCCTAGACTTGATTTGATTAAAACCCTTCTGTCCAAACATGCTATTATTTTATTCTTAGATGTAAGAAAACGAAAAGAAGCTCATACATTTTCTATGGTTTGGTCAAAGGGGGAAAACAGTAGACAATTCTGTGACCTTATTGGGATGTGGAACAATATTTAAGAATAACAGCTCCTGTACCTACTACCCTGTCAAAGGTTCAGTCGGTGGTTGGAGTCTGAAACCAAAGAGCTTAAAAACATTGTCTTGTTGCGTCTGGTTTTTAATGCCTCATTTAAAAAACTATACACATCTGCTCCAGGACCAAGACGGTAGAGTTCAACTGCCTGTCTGGCTCCTGTTGCACTGCAGCTGTTGTCAATGAAACAATGCAGAGTTTTTCCAGTCTTTTTCATGTCAAGAAACCCCAAATAGGTGCCCAGACAATGGACCCCAATTTGACAAAATTTTGTCCCAAAAGACTGCTTCTGAGAAGATTTTACTTGCGCAACTTCTATCTCAGCTGGTGTTTGGCATCCTTCTAAGTGGAAACACACGCCACTGAACAAGCATTTCCTTTCAAGAAGAATAAGAACAAAAACATGTTGTGTTTCTTCATTTGCTAGTTGCTTGTGCCTTTTAAAAAAAGGAGCCGCTGTACAATAATCCTCCTTCACACAGCCATAATGAGCAGTTAGCTTTCAGTTCACGACTCTGTCTTCCTCAGATACAGTTGCTCATCCAATTTAAAACTCTCAGGAGGAAAAGATGAGAGCTTATTTCAATGAAGACTTTCTGCCTTGTGCCCCATTATTTTGAACCACTCTCTGCAACATTTATGCATGTCTGTAATAATAATTCAGACCAAAACCTGCAATCTGTTATGAGAATTCCCTCAATTTCTGCTGGTGAATCACAGACTTTTTTATTTCATTAATATCCAACAATAAGTTTTGACCTTTCTGAGATATGACTGGATCATAACATTACAGAGCCTGAATAATTAGCAGACACAAATCACATAGCCACAGCATAGTGAGAATAGCCATTATGATACCAAAGATTCCTCACCAATAATCTGTAATGAGTGTGATAATTCTATAGCCACTCGTTTCCCTCCAGGGATCCTGGAAGTCACTTAAGCAGTTCCTCAGAAAGTTTGTGGAGAGTGTGAAGTCTGACTCCTAAAGTTTACTTTAGTGTTGGAAGGCAAATTTAACTATCTGTTATTTGTAGCTCCCAGGGTTATTCCCCCTGCACAGAATACTATTGATTTGGTAAACTCAATTAAGCAGCCTCTTAGACGTAAGAGGCCCCTTAATTGAGTTTACCTTTTTGGCTTCCTTCAAATGTCTCAGTCTCAGTCTCTTACTATTATCCAAATACAATTTACTTGGGAAGACACTGTTTACTTGAATCTGTGTGAAATTGTACAAACTCTGAGGAACTCTGAGTTAAATTCCAAGCCCCAGGATACTACCAACTAGTAAATACTGCAGACCTGACATTCCCTGAGGCATTGCAGTACTAATTTTAAAACCTGTATGACACATCTGGGCTTATTACGTTTTAAAAATGTCTCCTGGTTGTCCTGTCTGTGTGGAGTTTTCTTCCTCCAGGTGCTCCAATTCTTCTTCCACAGTCCAAAGAAAAGGTATCATACCACCGGAAATGATTTACAGCAGTGACCTTACTGACATCCATATTGTAGTTCTGTGTAATAAACTCCTGTGCTGCAGAGGAGATTGGGTTGGCAGGGCTATAAACCTATAATACTTTCACACATATTGTGCCTAGCTTGCAAAATACAGGACTGTACTATTTACAATTAATTTACCTGCAGGAAAGCCAAGCCAATGGGCCCTCAACAGAATTATCGTTCTCTTCTTTATTACCTTTTGGTCTTTTAAGCCAAATTGTTTTTCACAGCCATTGTTGCTCCCTTGACTACAGGAGCTGTCACCAGTGAAAGTGCATAGGCCTCTCTGTGTGGTAGTTACTGTGTTGAATGACTGTTGTCAACTTCTAAGTGCAGGTGTAGTCTAATGGTGGGTTCTGTACCTGCTGGGGAGAGATATATGGCTCGGTGTAAGGCCCTAACAGCTAGCCTGAGGGGAAAGAGAAAGTTCAGAACACACACACACACACACTCATACATTAGACCATCTCAACAGCTTCTTTTTAACATGCATACATCTCCCCTTATCCTAAAGTTGTGACAAAACAGATAATTCCATTTTCTGAACAATAACTGCACAGGTCATAGGTCATTGTGATGTTTCTATTTAGGTTGAATTTTGTCTGCTGGCATTCTAATGTCATATGATCTCTCAAAATTATTAATGAACTATGATAAAGCGATATTATCATCATCAAAGTGCCACAGCTTTGGTAAAGAATATGAAAACTGTAAATCCACAGCTGACTTAAACCCCTAGAGACATCCTGTCAGTCTCCGTCTGGTCTATCACAAATCAAACTCGTTTTAATAACTGCCCACCGACCACATGGAGGCCCCCCTCTCTCTCCTTGAACACTGGGTGACGCTGTTTTACGCACTGCAATCCAAACCAAATCCTGTATGAGGTGGAAGTTTTTCCTCTTTCCACGTTCAGTAATCTGACACCCAAAAGACTCAGCAGCAGAAGGATGGACCCTTAACTCGGCTGGAAGGACGGAAGGAAGGAACAGTCATCCAACGAGCGCAAACGGGAGGGACCGAGCAGAAGCGAAACGCTGTGCGCAAAAAACAACCCCGTGGCTGCGGCAGTGGAGGAGAGCTTGGGTGCCTGCGCGTCTCCAAAATAACTGGCTGTCCGCCTCAAATGATCCCAAAGCGACAAGTTCCACTTTCCACAGGCGGATGGGTGACTTTCCACGGCGCTTTGTGAGGAGTAGATGATGAAGAATTTTAGCAGCAGTCCCCTTCACAGCAACAACCAGACTCCCAACCACATCAGAGAGCGAAACAACAGAAAGTACGGCTTACTCTCTGCTATACCGTTGCGATTTTCCCTGCGAGGTTATGGTTTCTGCATGGCTACGCTGTTCTTCTTCTGTTTCGGCTCCCTTTTTTACCAGCTGAACGGAGGACCCCCTAAAATCCTGCTGGACATCCGACAGTATCTCGGTAAGAACTTTTCACTTTCCTCTGCTGGCTGAAGCGCGTCATCATCAAAGAGATTCTTTTGAATAAAAGTTGCCCTGCGTGCGTAGACGCCATGCTTTGATTAGACGCGCAAAGGACAGTTTTTCCAAAATGAATGAGGATTAATGAGGCTTGCACCTCTCATTCACCGCTTTTATGAAATCAACCGGAGGCCACAGCGTCCTCTCGACCCCTTTCAACCCAGACGAGTTATCTTCATGTCCTCTGATCGTTCATAATCTCGAAACCATCAAAGCGTTCATAAGTGACTTTACTGCAGACTGACACGTTTTATTAAGAGTGTGCATACTGACATGTTATGAAATATTACATACCCCCGAAAGTTCCCCCAAGTTTAACATTCTAATTATTCAGACCAAAACCTGAGGAATGCACTCCCCTTCACGCCACCACTCACCCCTTCAATATCGGTTCTGACTTGTCGGAGCGCCATTGGGATCTATTATGGTAACAAGAACTTAGCAACTGTTAAGGCTGATACTGTATGTGGAGGATGACTGACACATCTCCGTGTACAGCCAGCTGGTGCGCTCCGGCCACACGGCGCTCATTACGCACGACTAGCACCGGCGGTGGAACAAGGTGCAATAGTGTTTTCAAGATTGAATTTAGGCTGGTGTTTTGAGACAGCCAAGCGTGGTATGTCTTAGGCTTGATTTTGTATAATTGATTAAAAACATGTGGAGCATGTGTTGTTCTAAGGTTGATGTTGCCAAATGTTTTCATATCAAAGGGCTAGGTTTCCAATTTAGAATATTATACTCTGAAGGGAACACAGTTGTTTTAATTTAGATATGACTTGGCACTGCTTTATTTCTGTCTGTACTGGGTTATAAGAAGAAAGTGGACCTATGAGCCCCATGTGTGGCTCCATCTGCATGGGTGTCTGTGCAGAGTGTCAGTCTTTACGATAAGATGTATCATGAGTCAAGAAAACAAGTTTGTGGTTTAATGCTTATACTCAGTAGAGTTGATATCTTATCAACATGTCAGTCACTGCCACAACTGCAGCTGGCCTGTGTGTGTGTGTGTGTGTGTGTGTGTGTGTGTGTGTGTGTGTGTGTGTGTGTTGAAAGGAGGTTGTGTTCCTACCTATTTCTTACAGAGGACTTGAGGCCTTTATGACGTGATAAACATCTGGAACAGAATGAGAGTCACTCACCAAGTCAGCCACTAATCCCACGGGTCAGATTGGTTTCCTGTAGACACACAAACTTAACACACATATGCACTCACATCCACACACGCATGTCTGCACAGCTGCACAATACTGCAAGAAATCATTCTAATTTGATTTGGTCCAGTGTTGCAAAACATAAACAGACAATATCTTCATATATTTGTTTGCAGCACATGAAATATCCCAAATGTGTTGTGCAGTACCAAATTAGTTTCATAGTTTCATTTGAGCATCATGGAGAGCATGGATACTTCCTCTAAATGCAACTCTACTGCAGACACTTATATACAGTACACACACAGAAGCAAAACTCCCTCTGATGAAACTTTGCTGCCTAATGTCATTTAAGAATTGCGGCAGTCGATGCAAGTTCATTTTATTCCAGAGTAATTGCACAACGCTAATGCGCCACAGTCATCTTTAATGTCTATTACACTCA